CATAGTAACTATCATGGAACTAGATCCCCAATATAGGGCCTAGTGCTCATGAATAATCTTCTCAGTCGGAGTGGCTTAACAGTCCCCGAAAACACAGAGAGATCCTATCTCTCTGTTAATAGTGTAGGTATTGCAGGCATGTTAGAGACAAAAATGCAAGGAGATAAAGTGGATGAACTGATGAGGGAGAAGTTGAAAAATTACAGTTTTGATAGCCACCATAGCAACACAATCAAAGGTAAAATCATGCTTATCTGGAAAAGATGATATTACAGAATCAGTAATATACAGAAAGAAGAACAATGGATACACTGTAGTGTACAGGATTCCAGTAGCAGAATGTTTGATCTGACAATAGTTTATGCACACCATTAGGCTCAGGGGAGAACTGTATTATGGAATGATTTGCTAGCCAAATCAGGACCTTTCAAGAGAGCATGGATCGTGATAAGTGACTTCAATCATATTCTACACTCTGAGGAGAAATTTGGGGGAGCAACATGCCCTAAATCAAACACTGGAACGTTTAAGCTGGTGATTGAGCAGAATGAGATAATAGAATTGAAGACACAAGGAAGTCAATTCACCTGGAACAACAAGCAAGTTGGAAAAGCAAAAATCACATCTAAACTTGATAGGGCATTGGTCAATGAAGCCTGGCTGAATGACTTCCCAGAAGCAGTGGCATGGGTGCAACAAGCTGGACTTTCATATCATTGTCCATTGTTGGTAGAGTGGGGGAACCATCAAGGCACAAGTGGCAAAGTTTTCAAGTTCTACAACATGTGGACTCATCATCAGCACTATCAGGCAACAGTCAAGGTAAAATGGCATACAGCAGAGACAGGCACCAAACAATTCCTGCTAGTCCAAAAGCAAAAATCCCTGAAGTCAAGTCTTAAAGAGCTCAACAAGCGAAATTTCAGTGATATAGAGTTAAAAGAGCAACAAGTGAAACCGAAATTAGAAACAATTCAGGCTAAGCTACAAGTCGAGCCTGAAAATGTCCCTCTCCAAGAAACAAAGAAAATGCTGACAAGAGAATACATAGAGGCTGCCAAAATAGTAATAGCTTACTGGAAACAACACTTAAAGGAGAAGTGGATTCAGGAGGGGGACATTAACTCCAGGCTCTGCCATAATTGCACTAGACAAAGGAGGTTACAGAACAATATTCTTTCTTTCACTGATTAGAATGGCAACTTGGTGGATGATTGGAATCAGGTACAAAAGTATTTTATTGAAAATTATGAAAACTTGTTAGGTATGGAAAAATCTAGGGTTTTGACAGATTGTGAAGCATTTAATTTAGGGATCAAATTGTTTGTGCACCAGCAGATTCTCCTGATTAAATGCTTCACAAATGCAGAAATCAAAGATGCAATTTTTAGTATAGATCCTAACAAATGTGATGGGCCAGATGGGTATAGTAGCGGGTTTTATAGGTTTTCTTGGGAAACAGTCGGTGAGGATATGTGTAGTGTAGTAATGGAATGCTTTCAAACTGGAGAATTGTTGAAGCAGATAAATGCCACACAGATTTGTCTAATATCAAAAACCATAAACCCTAGAGATGCTACTAAGTACCGTCCCATAGCATGTTGCAACATTGTGTATAAAATAATCACTAAGTTTCTTAGTAAGAGATTAGGGTAAGTCCTGCCAGAGTTAATTGACTTAAACCAAGGTGCATTCATTAGAGATAGATCTACTCTTCATAATATGTTATTAACACAAGAACTAATTAGGCTTTATAGAAGGAAACATGTCAAGCCATGTTGCCTCATGAAAATAGACCTGATAAAAGCCTCTGACTCTGTCCACCGGGAGTTCTTGGATGAAATGTTGCAGCATTTAGGATTCCTTCCAAAATTTAGAACTTGGGTCTTGGAATGTGCCACCACAGCTAGCCTTATGTTGAATCTGAATGGCCAGAATACGGGATTCTTTCACGGGAAAAGGGGTCTCCGTCAGGTGATCATATGTCACCATTACTTTTTATGATGGTGATGGAATAACTTACGAGATTATTCTGAAAGGAGATAAGGAAAGGGGATTTCGAGTTCCATCCTTACTGTGAGAATTTGGAAATAGTAAGTCTCAGCTTTGCTAATGACTTGATTATCATCAGTCAAACTGATATTCAAACAGTAAAAAAGATCAAAGCAATACTACAATAATGTAAAGCTACCACATGTCTTACGGTGAATATCCAAAAGCCTGATGTTTACTTTGGAGGGGTAAATGATGAGCTTCAGCAACAGATTCAGAATATCATGGGATTCAAGGTCAGTTCCTTCCCCATATGGTATCTTGGTGTTCATATATCTCCCTCAACTTGGACACATGATGATTGTCAGCCTGTGATTGAAAAGATAACTAAAAAGCTACAATGTTGGTCTACAAGACATCTCTCCGATGCTGGGAGATTGGTCTTGGTGAACTTTGTTCAGCTGAACCTTCATTCGTATTGGATAGGAATCTTTCTCATCCCAAGGTCAGTCATTAAGCAAATTGAGAGGCACTGTAGATCCTTTCTGTGGGGGAAAAAAGGAGTCTGGAAGAGTTTGGTCATTGGTTGCTTGGGAAGAAGTTTGCAAAACCCAAGGTGAAGAGAGCCTCAATATTAAAGATCCTATCATCTGGAACCAAACAATGATTGAAAAACAGCTATGGGATATAGCAAGGAAAAAGGAGAGCCTTTGGATTCGCTGGATACATACGTACTACTTAAAAGGACACCAACTCTGGGATTATAGTCCTCCACGAGATTGTGGATGGCACTGGAAAAAGCTCATTATTGTTAAGGAGAAGTTTAGAGAAGGAGTGTAAAATGACTACCGGCAAGGGCAAAGGGACAAGAGATACAATGCAAAATTAGGCTATGCTTGGTTGCCTTGAAGGACAGACTGTTAACCCAAGATAGGCTGATGCACATGAACATGTTAAGTGAAAATCAGCACTGTGAGCTATGTGATGCACAGAAGGAAAATGTTGATCACCTTTTTTCTGTTGTCCTTTCTCTCAACAGCTTTTGAGAGAATTTATGGACTGGCTGGGATTAAGGATGCAAATTCAAACACTGAGAACATAGGTGGTCAGGATCCTGAAAGCTTGGAGGTTTCAAAAGCTAAAGCAAAGAGTGTTGTTTGCAGTTATTACAGTAGCAATTTATCATATATGGTCTGAAAGGAATAAGAGAAAGTTTCAGCAAGTAACTTCATCAGCTCAAAACAGAGTCCATAGAATTAAGCAAGAGATTAGATGAAGGGTACAATTTCATTGTAAGAAGGAAATGCCAATTGAATTAAACTATCTTTAAAGTTCGGATTATCAACATTAGGAGAAGTTCTGTGTAATAGATACATCCATGTAAATATCTTTTGATTGTTTGGTGGTAATATAATTTTATTGTTTTCCCAAAAAAAAAAAAAAAAGTTAAACTATAAAAGGTAAATTAACTTTTAAAATTTAGTGATTATAATAGTACTAACATATACAAGTTAAGAAGTATCAGAAAAAGAATTGTAAAAAATAAAAAAATTAAAAATTAAAAAAGGTAAACAAAATAATGAAAATACTACTAAACCAAAAGGCATGTGAAAAATAGTTTTCCATCACTATTTAACAGTCAAAATTAACAGAATGACCTCGGATGAATTTTGCCTATATTTGGAATAAAGTTGATTAATGACTTGTGATAAAATTACACAATTGTTCAACGACATATTTCGTGATTGACTCTTTTGTAATTAACGGAACAAAATAAAAGTATTAGTTTCTGTGCAAAACACGGGATATAACCTAGTAATCATATTTTTTGGGATAAGAAGTATTATCAAACATATCGTAATACTACTATTATTTGGGGCAAATAGATTGAGAGATTAAAGCTAAGGAGCCTTTGGAGTAATTTACATACTTTATCTCAAAATGAACAAAAATGGTTACCTACAACAAACAAGGAAAATAAATAATAATAAAGAGTGAAATAATTACCTTAATAAGATTCCTAAGTCGCGATTGAATGAAAACTAGATTTATTGAACATAAAAATCAATAATCTCCTTAAGATTAAGCTGGAAAAATGAAGAACAGTCGTTCCTCATCAACCACAACATATGCTCGAACAAAATTGCATCCACATCCACAAATATTATTCTCTTAGACCCTTTAATGTTGAGAATTCTTCCCAAGTTTTCTTTCTTGACCATATCAAGTAAAACCCGAAAAGGGTTTTCTTCAAGCACAAATGGCTCAACTAAAAACTCCCTCTTCTCCTTTCCGACTACCACCATGACCGGATCATCGGATTCTTCAAAGAAATCTTCTGAAATTGGACGATACCCAAGCCGTGCGCCTATGTAACACTTTCTCAACATCGCAACCGGCAGGATTATGCAACCCATCGGTCACGAGTTTTGCTACTAATATTATGATTATGTTGTTTGTTTTTTGTAAGAGAAAACTCGAAGCTAGAAAAGTGAGGTTATGTGATTTATAGGAGTACATTTGACAATTTTCCTTGGAAGGTTCTTGTTTCTTTCTTTGCAAATTGGAGGAAAGACGGCCACTTGGATGAATTAACACGGTCAAAGCAAAGAGAGCAGGCCAACACGGCTTGTATGTAGAAGTGTACGTTTAAGTGAAACAAGAAAATATGGACTTCTTTAAATAATTGATTGTGCTCCTGCAGGCGTTAAACATCCCCAACTTCTGTTTGTTTGTTGGAACAGTGAACAAGTAGTAATCTTTTCAATGCGATCATAAATTCCAACCTCACATTGAACGGGATTGGTTCCTTGGTATGTTCTCTAGGTTCGATTGTGAGTATGATTGTTGTCTCCAAATGATCAACAACTCTCAAGTTCCTCCATTGTCACCTTGTAAGAAATTGAATCCTTCAGAAAGTAAAATTTTGCTTTTTGGCAAGAACAAAGACGAGGTATTTGTACACTATCAGATCCATCATTTTTTTCCTCAAAAAAAAAAAAAAAGATCCATCATTGACTAAATCAGAGTAAATGCCAATAAGTAAAAAAAAAAAAAAAAAAATTAACTAAGAAGAAAAGAAGGTAGAATGCCTTTTGAAACTTGTGCCGTCCCACTCAGAAGATGAAACCATGATTACAACTAACAATTCCTACTGGAAAAAGGAAGTTTACAAGAAGCAGCTAGGAGGTCAAAAGCTGAAGCCAACATATAATCTCAGGATAGGGGGTAGTGGACAACTATTGCCTCGGCTAAACCAAACCTATATCGCGAACTCGGATGGGAAAAAACTAAACATGGAGGAAAGAAGAGATGTAAAGAAAAGCCCTATGATCTGTCTGCCTGTTAGCATTTGCAGTCAACCTCTACCAGAGTCGCAGCAACTCAACAAGTCAATAACGCAATGAAGGTGATGTCAATTGGGATGCATCTTCATACTGGAGTTCGGCCACCCCATATTTGTATACATTGTTGGAATGTTGTGCATTGGTTGGGCATTGTTGTATGGCCCAGTGCTGCGGTTCAGTGGACTACCATGGTCGTCTGATGAATCACTTGATGCACCTTGGGAAGGGGAAGGGGGGCTTGCCCCTGATGTTGGATTTCCAAAGTTCAGCATGTTGGGGGCTTGTGCTGCAGAAGACTTACTAGATTTTGGCTTTTTCCCATCGGCAATGAAACTCCCAACCACCACCTGGAAGAGAGCACAAGATGGAGCAGAAAGAACAACACAGACTAATTAATTACATTACCAAAGAAAAGAACAAGAAAATACCTGCACAGGTGTTGCTGCCATAAGCGCTCCCGCAACCCCACCACCCATGACTCTTCCATCACTCCCAGCCAAAGATACACTCAGATTTGGACCTCTTCTAGCAGTATCCTCTGCCAGAGAGTAGGAGCCTGATAAAGAAATTATCTCAAATCGACCCTGCAAATGATACGACCGTCAATAATGACAACAAAAAAATATGCAAAAGCAGTTGCAGAAAAATTGCACAATCTCCTCAAACAGAGAAAACAGGGGCTAATGTCGGGTCCATGAAAACAGGGCTGAGGGATCATATTAAAACAAATGGAAAAACACTGACAGAATCATGTTCAATGTCCTCTAAGGCTTTTACAGTTCTACAGTCATTTTCTTCTAGCTTACAAACAAAACTAGTAAGCAGACTGAATAATTAATTAAATAGCCAAACAAGGATTTTACAATCAGTAAGCTTGAAAGATCACCTAAAAGACAGCAATCACAATGGTAGATTGCACTTGTACTACACAAGCAAAAAGCTATTTGGGAAGAAATCAACAAACTTTAAGTTGACTTACATGGATGAGAATATTGACGAATAATCAAATTGAGGTGATGGGACATTTCACAAGATAACAAAACTACTCATATCAAACCAAAAAATACTAGTGTAAATTCTAGAAGAATCACACAAAATTTGACAAGGATCACGCAGAGAACCAAACCCTGAAAGTAACCAAACTTAACACACTCGAGGCAACTTTTGGTGCCTATACCAGGCCGGTTATCACAAGCTTAACAAAGCAATATCCAAACTCAAAACAATTTATAGGACGTAGTGAATGATTCAGGCAAGAATAAGCAAGATGCCTATATTTAAAAATTATTTTCCCACAAGAAAAACATACATGCATAGTCAAATATACACGCATCAAAGACACGCACATGACCATAAGGAACCAGCATGTGATGGTACTGCACAGACAAGGCTCAGCTACGACATTAGATTTTTCAAAACTATAGTAGGAACCAAAAAATGAACTCATACTACAGGGTGTAAAACATCTTCAGAAGAACCAAAAACCATTCCCTGGAAAGATTCATATATTTCAGCAATGCAAATCTCTGCAAAGAAAAACTTGCATATGAATATATTCATGATTGCAGAGTCTTGAAAAGGTAAAACAGGAGTCATACAACGATTCGATGATATCTTGTACAGACTGATAACTCATTCAAACAGGGGAAGCATTCAACAGGAACAAAAAAAGAACAAAAAAAAAAAATGAAGTAGAGTGTTTCAGGGCCCGTATGGAAAGTGTTATCATTTGGTTTTTTTGTTTTAAGAATGTGAAGAATTAGATTGGAAATCCTAGCAGTTGTCTTGGAAATAGAAAAGGTGCATTAGAAACTGTGCGGGCTAAGGGTCGGATTCATCTGATAGTAGGCAGGACTATGAATCGAAGTTCAAAAACCATTAACCCCATACATACAAGAAAAAGGGTGAAGTGTAAGGGTTAAGATCTCCAACAACAATCAGAGATCATATGTAAGTTAATAAGTAAAGAGGAAGAAATTTGATTTGGAAAACTGAAACAAAAGCCTGCTTAAATAAGAAACACAAGCAACATGAAACCAATTTTGGAATTTACTTGGATTTGATACAACAGCAACAGAATTCTAGAAAATGCAGAGAGTCATCTAAAACTTGCCATCATCTGTATCGATTACCTTACAATAGGGAAATTAGCATCATTTTGACATTCTCCAAACATTGAAATTGGAGAATACTATATTTTTATGCACCAGAACAAAACTAATAAAGCTTCAAATCTTACAAATGCCTTGAACAGGGACAAAAAAACTATAATCAACAATTTATAACTAAGAAACCCATGTGGAAGCATGCTGGCAATGCAAGAGCCATTGCCAAGGGTAGAGATCTATCAACTTACGGGACCCCAGAAAGCAACCATCACAAAAAGCATAAGTTGCCACAGGGGTGAAAGGAGTATTCATAGTTCCATTTTACAACTAAAGTTACAGTGGGAATTACGGTCATGTTCAATGGAAAAGGATAACAATGCAACTGTAAACTTCAATCTGTTCAAGATCTTTGCCTGGTCAGTACAGTTTATAAAATAATACAGCTAAGAAAATTTAACAATGAGAAAATGCTGAACCTGTTATTTTGTTTTTAGTTTCTCATTACGGTCATGTTCAATGGAAAAGGATAACAATGCAACTGTAAACTTTAATCTGTTCAAGATCTTTGCCTGGTCAGTACAGTTTATAAAATAATACAGCTAAGAAAATTTAACAATGAGAAAATGCTGAACCTGTTATTTTGTTTTTAGTTTGTCAATTTAAGAACGGAATAAAGCACTGATAATCCTCCCAGAAACAAAACTAAGAGGGGAAAATAAGCAAATAGATGTAAACTGCCCAAGCAAGATATATCGAATAGCAAACCTTCTATATATTCTCAACTCTATTTCCCGTTTCTTCATTATTTCACTTCCATTCATTTGGTTCTTTGGATTTCAAAAATAGATACACACAATACCGACACTTCAAGCCTGCTGCTACACAGTTTATTTCTTCTTTTCTTTGAAATATTAAAATCTTTATAAATTATTATTACTTTTCTCTCAATATGCAGATCCACTGTGCATCATGAGATAAACAAACAAAAGACAATACAGCAAGATATTCAATGACCACAATCATTTTTTAGCCCCAGTATAAATTGCATATGTATTTGCTCAATTTTCTATACAAAATAACATAATATAATGCACAGGCTCCATTCATGAAATATAGACAAAGCAAAAACATAAAAGACGAGGCACATTTGACCATGCTCTCAGCAACTGAAAACCCCCCAAGAACAGTTGCACATTTGCATTCTTACCTCATATGTAACAGTACCATTATTTGATCCTGGTTGTCGAAGGGTCACGCTACAGAGGGCACCATTCGCTGATAGAATACAGATGGTGCGTGGCCCTTGCTGTGAGAAAGCCGTTATCTTTCCTGCAATGTCCTGCCAAGCAGAAGAACAAGAAGAAGACAGATATTAAGCAAAATCAACATGATGAAAAACATATAGAAAGAGAATTACCAACACCTCATTCTCAATTTCCATGATTCCAATTGTTAAAACAAGCAAAAGTGCTACTTTTTAATCAAGCATACAGAATTATGCAGCCATGTATGGGAGAAAATACACAAATAACAAAAGTATCCATATCACTATGTGGGATCAGCAATATGTAAGCAGAGAATATAGAAGAAAATGTATGTGTAGCTAAAAGACAAATCAGTTCTGACAAAGAATGATACTCTGCATGTATAGCGGTAATGCAAGTGTTTCCTTTCCAAGAAGTTCACAACATCAGTTGCAGGGAGGAAATAGTAAACTCCTGATCAATTTGTAATTGGAGCTGAAAACAGAATATTGGTTTCTTAACATTAAAAAAATATTAAACTTTTTTATGTGAGTTTCAAATTAGAAAAAACAACAATTAAAGCAAGCAAACAGTATCAAAAAATTCAGAATTAGAAAGAATTCCCTTCGGACTATTTTACTTGAAAAATTGCCCTTTTCTAGTTTACAGGATGTTTCCACAACCAAGTCTAAGACAATTTTCCATTGCATTTGAGGAAACCAACCATGATGGAGGAGAAATCTAAAAATTCCATTTAGGTGAAACAATTTACCTCCCCAGCTTTCACAGTAATAACGTGTGGTGTAAACCCAACTCCAGAAACTCCTGCCAGCCAAAGGAAACCACAAATAGATAACAACATTAAACATGATAAACGGAGCCATCTAACGATTACTGACAAAAAATTGAAACACACCTCGATCACAAAATCAACACCATCCAAAACCTCACCGCGAATAAAAACAAATTAATACAAAAAGGGGAAATTGATAATCACCTAAGGCATCGAGCTGCTTCTTCCCAGAGCCAGGGGGACGCCCGCGGTGCTTCTTGGCCGGGGCTTCAGTGGAATGCGTCGCAGTGCCACCAGCACCGGAGTCAGCAAGGCCCATACCGGAGGACATAGGCGTCACCGGAGTCGGGGAAAGCCCGAGAGCAATGCTACTTCCAGACCTATCAGGCGAATACTTCCTGGGCCTCCCTCTTTTCTTCTTAGCAGGCTCAATGCTGAACCCACCCGCCGACCCGGCACCGCCATTGGGCGACGCCGGCCCACCTCCGCCACCGCCGTCGGAGTAATCAATTATGGGTTTCGGCCCAGACGGGGACATCATAGTGTTGAAGGGGAAGCGAGGAGCAGAAGGGTTTTGCTGATTCTGCATCATGTTATTGTTATTGGGGTTTTGGAGAGGGTAAGAGTTGGGTTGAGGCCGGTGTTGATGAGATGGGGATACTAGAATGGTGGAGGGAGGCGGTGGCTGAGCGTGGTGGTGGTGATGCTGTTGTTGTTGTTGTTGGTGATGAGGGTGGTAGGTTTGTTGGTGATGAAGGTGGTGAGGTGGCGGAGCAGCGGTGGAATCTTGGGAATCCATTGCCGGGATTTTTTTGCAGAGATCAAAGAAGAATGGAATGAAAAAGGGGAATCTAATAAATCATAGTACAAACTTCAGGAATCAAGAAACCAAAAAAACCTACTGTGCAGTGGTGATGATGAGTAATGACAGAGAGTGGGAATTGAAATTGAAAAAGGAAAACCCAACTAAAAAAAAATAAAACCCAGAAAAAAAAAAAAAGCAGAGAAAGAAATTTAATTCAGAAAGAAATTGAAAAGGGAAGAAAAGCGGAGAGAGCCGAAAGATGGTGAAATGGGGAAGAAAAGAAAGAAGGGGTTTTTGGAATTTAGGGTTTTAAACAATTATTTTTTTGGCATTTGGGTATTTATATGGACACACACACCGGAGTGGGGACTGTGTGAATAGAAGGACTTGTTTTTGTGGGCTTTTTGGTTATTTAGTTTGGGTCAATAAATGCTTCCGCTAGATACTTTCGAAGATCTTCGTTGGATAATCTTCTTTCTTTTTTTTTTTTCTTTTTTCTCTTTTTTCCAACTTCTATCCTTGAAATTGAAATGGAAGTTCGTAAAATTTTATCAAAGTGATAAAAGACAAAAGTTATGACAAGGGACAGATTTTGAGATCGAAAATAACATGAAATTTGATGGTTTTATTGACTTAAAATATTTGACTTTGTTTACGTTCTCGCGATTTCTAAAAAAAATATTTAATTTGATTGAATTAAAACTTCATAACAAAAACAGATTACTGAATTATTTTGTTAAGATAGACTATTTGAAATTTGAAAGGAAAAACAAGAAAAACAATGTAACAAAGTTAAATAGTGAATCAGTTTGAAATGACGTATTTTTATTGATGGGATAATAATAATCAATATAATATAATAATTGGAGAATATTGTTTGAGTTTTGATAGCGTTTCAAGGAAAAATTATGGTATACAATAATAGAGACGGTAACTACCAACATAATAAAACACATAAATGAGACTAGAATATTAAGAGCAGTGAAATAAAACAACGACTAATGAAAAAAGATATAAACACCACATCATTCTTTTAATAACAACCAATATAAAACATTCATAAGGTTAGTTTCATAAAACATACATAATCTTTATGTAGTTATGTATTTTTCATAAAACATTTAAAAAAAACAGGACATAAAACTATAAATACTATGGTTTGACAAATAGGAAAAACATCGGGACTTAACTTCATAGTTTGCAAAATTTTGAATTAGGTGTTGTTTATTAAGAACTTTTCCTGATTTTTTGATCTAATATTGATATTCTAATATTTTGAAACCTATGTTAAGGGCTAGATATCTTTGTGTATTGGGCGGAGACTTTGCACTTAACTCTTATAAGATTAGTTCTTTTAATTTTATAAAGTCCCATGGTTTTTAAATTTTATTTTGAAGAGGGTTTTCCAGATAAATTTTGATATAATTTTGTTACTTTCATTTATTATCGTTTCCTTGTTAGTTAACCTCTATATTGATATCAGTATTTATTCTCATATTAGATTCAAGTGAATTAGAGAGGTTCTGAATTGTTTGGATTATGGTAATAGCTAGATTGTACATTAATATAATGAAAGTTCTTAATCGGCACGTATTATCCAATGAAATAGTTACTTTCGGATTTAGAGTGACACTCGTCATCACCAAAACTCTTTTTCATTAAAGGGTAACATAAAATAATAAATGGTGGTGATTCTACCAAAATAATTTCTAGCATCTAGGATAAATTTAATGTGAAAAGACAAAATTATTCATTTCAAAAATAAGGTACATATTGATCTTCTCTCGCCAGCAGCCCGTCTGCCGATCCTACATCGTCTCCGCCGCCCGTTGTATCCTTCAAACATGTAGCTCAAACCCTAACACAATCAATCAAGTGCACCACACACAGATCACCATCTCATAAATCAATCAATCAATAAAAAATCCATGATGTTAAAACATGCAAAACAAAATACTGAAACCCGATAGAGATGTTCTAACCAGACAACAAACGGACAACGACATGAATGAACGAGTGTAATTCAAATTCGATTTCGTCCTTCACAGCCTGATTGGTACACTTCATCATCTCTTGTCAACCCTGCAATTCAATCAATCCTTTCTAGCCTAAATAGAGTAGTTCTCTCATATTTATTCTAACCGGTTGTTGGAAGCTCCAAGTCCAAGGAAAGGGCTAGACTTTTGGAATGGAGCAAAGAAATTTAGAGATGCAGTAAGTTTAATTCCACTGTCCACAAACAATGTTACGATAAAAAAAAAAAAAAACTCATTCAATTTAACATAGATTAGTGCCGAGGTAGAGATAGAGAGAAAAAATGGTTAAGAAAAGAAAAGTTCTCTTCTTTCGTGGAATGGAGGGAGCAAGAAAATTTGGGCTCTCGCTGAAGTAGGCAAAAAGCTAAAAATGAATTGATAGGTTTTTTTATTTTTTTTAATTTTTACTTCCTTCAGCAGTGGTGGGAAAGGTAGTTGATTTCAGGAGGGTGGCGGAAGGCATGGGTGAAGTGTTGTATTTATGAGGTGGATAATTATGTCATTTCTAAAAAGTAAAATAAACGTCTCTTGAGTACATGAATGGAACTCCAATTGAGCGATCCTAATGGCTGAACGGTTTTGATCCCACGGTTTCATTTTGCTGGATGGTATCAATTTTAGTGAGGGTTAAATTTGTCATTGCAATATTCAATTCTTTTTCCTTTTCTATATTTTGCAAAAAATTTAGGCATATAAAACGACATCGTTTGATGATAAATTTATTCTTTTTATATTCGGGGTCAAAAGATTTATTTCCTCCCCCTACGTCTCCCCTCTTGCCATAATCTTCTTATCCTACAGTAGATTCATCAGTTCAGAACCTATCCAAATCAACAATTGGGACTGAGAACAAAGAGGAGAAGGAATCTTATTTGAACTATCTAACTGTTATCTCTATTTATCATCGCTGGCCGTCACTATCTTCTTCTTCTCCAACCATTCTTTATCACACTGAAGTAGGACTCCAGTCATTTCAGTCTATAATATGTTTCGTACAATATACTATTATGCCATCTCAAATCTTCTTCCAATTTTCCTTCTCACCCAATCAACTTGTCCATCGTTTTAATCTGCTGATGCTCTTTGTTTTTTTCTTTTTCTCTTTTTTTTTTCAAATTTTTCCAGGAGAAGAAAGAGGAAAATACTTATCAGAGGGAGTTTTATAGCCAAAAGAACAGCATATACTTGATGGATTCCGGCAAAAATGCCACATGTGCGTGCTCTCTTCACTCGGAATGATGATTAGTCTCTTTTCCTTTAATGATTTTTGTTCTTTATAAGTCTTTGACTTTTGTATTGTGGTATGATGAACTTTCATATTCTAATTACGTAAAGAAGTAGCTTTCTAGGCAATGAAGGTAAAAATTTTAATTTTTTATAATTTTATTTGCAACGTAATTGGTTTTGTGGTGTTGTGTTGGGTGTCACTTTCATTATGCTTCTGCTTCTACATTATTTCCGATTTGAAAGCTCAATTTGATGTGATCTATGTTGTTAAGGAGCGGAAGGCTTTGTGGGGTGTGCAGCGGTGGACACTATCTTCAGAATTCATTTTTTTTCTTTTTGGGTGCAATATAAGTAGTACTTGAAGGTTTATTTTCCCGATTAATTTTTTTTGGTAATATGAATATTTTTCCCCAACCACTTAGATGTAGGATGCCTGCTGACATCCCATGGGGTGATATTTGGCACTAACCATGCAGGTGAATATTCTGGAACCGTTAAGAAAGTATAATCTTATGATCATGTTATTGAATTTATTTTTTTAACTTTTGTTATTTTGTATGTCATGTCTTTGCTTCCATATCTTTTCAGCTTAATAATAAACACGGTTGTCATCTATGTGATGCTGAAACCTATATTGATGAACTGAACGACTGCTCTACAATAATTTAGTGTTTTCAAAATCAAGCTCGAGACCTCCATCTGCACGTGGAAAAAGTTGTAGCAACCCACCCTGAGAGTTTGAGGGGAATAGTTATAGAGCTACAAAATATATCTTTATTTGTTTTCATTGGACTCGTTTCTTTAATTTGATTGGGTGATCTGATCTAGCAAATGTAAGAATATAAAGAACTGTGTGTTTTTAACACTTACAAATCTATCTATAATGGATTTATAATGAATTGATTCTATAATGGTTCAAGTTAAACTTATTTGTTCTTTGGTCTAAACTTGGTTTGGTTCAAGTTTACTTTATACATCTAATTAAAGAAGTTTATTTCTAAGTCTAGCAAAATGCACTATTAACAGGAACATTTTACATGTTTTTGGCACCGGGTAGATTAACCTTGTTAAGTGGATCCACCTATCAGAAAAACATTTTTCAAATAAACTAACAAAGCGCAGATACAATATTTTTTTCTTTTTTCTTCAAAAGATCAAGAGTGGTTCTCCACTTACCCCCGGCGTGACTCAAACTCGTGACATATTGGAAATAGAGGAGACGTCTTACCACTAGACTGCACCTCATTGAAGATACAATATTAGTACATTATTACTCTAATTAAGCTGCCAATTATTTTTTCTCAATACACCACCAGTATGCCTTCTAATGTTCTTTAGTCTATATTCAATATAATCTAGATTTCTTCAATGAATGTCATTGGATCAATTTGTTTTTTAATCTATATTCAACATAATCTAGATTTATTCATTATATATCATTGGATCAATTTATGAATAGAATGTGTCGCACAACGCACGACGAATGTTTGAACTGGTTAATCTAAATTTGCCATGAATGCTAGAATTTGTTTTGGTAGAATCATTGCCCAATAATAAATTATTAAGTATAAAGTATTACCTTACATTCTCATCCGAAATTTAACCATTGTCAACATTAATTTTTAATTTTATACATATACAAAATCAAAGCGACATGAAGCAATATAAGGAATGTATTTAGTAAAATTAATCAACTTATGTGTATAACTATCACTAATAATATATACAAGGAAATTATCTGTAAAGTTTGATTAGTTCTAATCTATTATAATCTAAAAGTTAAATTTTATACCATTAATATTATACTGCACAGTTCGTGCAGAAATTTTTAATGAAATTATTTTGGCTAATGATATTTCCAGTACAATAAATAGCTACCAGAGCAAATTTTAATTAATTTGACTAACATGCCCTTGCATAGTCAAAGTGTATTTTTTTTTTCCTATCTCACGGTTCCTCTTCATCGCCTCTGCCTTGGGATGTTATCCTCATCATCCTCTTCATCCATCAATTACCTTTCTTTCCAAATAAGAAAACCAAACTTAATCACGTGTTTCTATTTTTCAGTAATGAACACCATGATCCTCATCATCTTCATCCATCAGTCTTTCATTCAAAATCAGAAAACCATACTTGATCACATTTTCTAATTTTCAGTAATAAAAATATGAAAGAAACCAAATTTTAAGAAATGATCAAGATTAATGTTAAGAAACTTCTATATTCGAGACCAAATCAAGTAATAAAATTGGTCTCTCATCCTTAGCAAGCAAAATCCATGGGCAAATAGATTCCAAAACTCAACTTGTACTCACATCATTCATCAGATTAAAATCAATGATGAATTTATAGAGAAAACCTCTAGCCTAGATGGAAGAAGACAAACTCTTTTGTAAAATAGCCCCAAATCATCATACTTAGATGTAATAACTCAACCCTGTTGCAAGTTTGTGAATTGAAGGAACACTGATGATGTATTTAAAGTTTTTTTTCTATGCTTGGAACTTAAGAATACAATATAAATTTATGTTGAACCGTTTATGGGGATTATCTCAATTATGATTTTCAATGTAATCTCCAAAATATTTTCTGTTCAAGTGCATGAGGACATTCTTTGATTCTCCATGAATTTGGTAGGGAGGGAACTCTTAAAAGGTTGTAGAGGAGTGAAATTACACTTTGACTGGATAAGGATTATTTTGTTAATTAAGATCAAATTTGCTCTGGAAGCTATTTATTATCTTGGCAATATGATTATCCAATTGTTTTCTTGTTGAAAAGATATCACGAAGAATCATATATTTATGAGTGAAATTGAAATATTAAACCCCTACACCAGAAAATGATACACAAATATATGGCTCAACTCATTAAATAACTTTCACATAAACAGCCGAAACATTTTATTTTCTAAGTACGGTACCAACGCTAGGAATAATGTATATAATTAAGTTATTCACATGGGCTTCGACATATTTTGGGCTCATCTCACTTCGAAAATCAAAGACCTCAACATTCTTTGCTGATTCAGTCTGAATGTCTGTCAGGGGGTATTTAGATGCCTAGACTTTTCTAAAATATAGGAAATCATTTCCACCGTAAGATCAAACATGTTGGTATAGTTGGCTCATGTGGTGGGATATTTCAAATAATTGTCTAGAATTTTCTCAAACTTAGAAAAACATAATGTGATTGATTGCCTCTTATATCGATGAAAAGGATAAACATATAAGAATAAATAAAGTTAAAGCCATCAATGAAATTTAACATTTTGCTTACCAAAGAAAGGTTGACTAATTCCCGAAATTTGGTAAGACATAAATGATGAATGTCAAATATATACGTTTATAAGCATTACGTTTAGTCCTCTTTTCATTGTAATATAGTAGAAATTAGATAGGAACTGTATAATTATAAGTGATTGTCGTACTTTCCTCTGATTAGGGACTAAATTATAAATGGTCAAAATTATAGGTAAAAATTACAAAAAGACAGAAGTTTAGCGATTGGACTGAAACGCAATTCTAGGGGACATTCTGCAGGACTACTTCAGAGGAAGGCTGAGGCATAGAGGCAATTTCAGGACCATTTTCTTGGCTCAATTCTTACTCCTTTGGAGCAAAACCATAGCAAGCAAGAAAGAGTCATCCTAGGAGGTTGTTATGGTCCTGAAAAACTAGCAAATGACAAGTTCTAGCAGCTAGAATCACGCTTGAAGGCCTAAGCAAAAAAATATATATATATATTCAGGATCCTTCTGATAGCTGGCGTACATGGTTGAATCTCAATCGGAATCTCGAGCTGTTGCTGCCTATAAAAGGATAAGCGATGGTCATTTGCTAAGTTTAGCTGAGTAGAGAGTTACACAAGAGTTTTGCAACATAGACTCTTAGGCAGTTTAGCAAAGAAATAGGCACGGGCCAAAACATAAACAAATAAATTAGAAGATTACAGCAAAAACATTAAAAAAAAATTGAAATCGCAAGGGCCAAAATTGCAAAAAAAAAATAAATTAAAAGATTTTTATATTATTCAAACTGACCCAAATGTCACTAGATACTTCATTTAACCAAACAAACTTAATAATCACATATTAATACCTCTAAAAGTAACGAATCTGTTTACGATAAATAAAAAATTTAAAAGAGTTAAAATTACATGGGCTAAGATTACAAGAAAATCAAAATGGAATACTACTATTATATGGAAACTCAACCATGCTAATATCACAGGTTAATTCTTTATCTAAGCAAACTTAATAATTGCAACAACCCTCGTTTAAAGCTCCTGTTTTGGACAAATAAAAAAATTATAAATTATTCCAAAAATACATCAATGCTAATTTTAAACACAAATTTTTGCTATTCATACAATATATATATGTGTGTGTGTGTGTGTATATATATATATATATATATATATATATATAGAAACATCAATAATAAAAAAATTAGTAAATTGAAATGATCGAAAATAAATATTTATATAGCGTAGCCATAATTTTGCACATTTACATATTATTTTCAAATTTAAGAATATTACAAAATTATAGTGTCATAAGGTCTGAGGGCCTCATGTTTAATACTGAATTAGAAATATTGAATTCATTAAGGAGTTAAAGAATAAGCAATAAGCTAACTTTTATTGCTTATATTTTGTACTGTAATTTCAGCACCACTTAATTTATTAAGAGGTTCACTTTTTTATTATACATCATGAAATGAAAAAAATGCTTAATCTAATAATTTTAAGCATTACATGGCTTTATCAAACAAACCCTAATATTGCACAATCGACATGCACTCTTTTTTTGTATAAATGATTTTATCACTGGTAAACTTAAAAGTTAATATATTCATAGGTTTAACCACAAAAAAGGAAAGAAAGACGGGAGTGGTTACTACATTGGTCCTTTTTTAAAACATTTAACAAAATTTAGTATCGTAATTATTAAAATTTTTGAAATTAATTTAATTAAGATATAATTTACATAGAAAATTTTGATTACATCACTTATTTTTCACCTTTTTAAATCTACAATCTATTTATAATATATCTATAGTTTATCTATCTATCTATAGTATATTATAAAGGAGAAATCAGAGAGAAAAACTGGCGGATCCTTCCTAGAGTGCCACATAGGAAAAAATCTTATGTGGCATTATTCTATGAATTCAAAATAAAAGAACTTTCTGTAACAACAAATAAAGTCTTCATAAATTTAATCAATACAATTTAAGTACAATATTAATTTGTTTAATTTTTTCCATACTATTATAAAACATAATATGACCTCTACTTTCATCACAATTAAGATTTAACTTTTTCACAGTTTACACAATATTTAATTTGACGTTACATACAAATTTATATTTTTATATTTGTAAGTAACTCTTATAATTTATATTCAATCGTGTCATATATACCATCACAACTCATTAACATCATTTGTGTTGGTCACAATTTTATTTTTCAATGATTTAACCATATTATGTTTAACTAAATCCTGTGCATCGTACGGGTTTAACACATAAAGGCGCAGTTCACCAGGTCAGCGCCAATTTCTGTATCGTTCCCGGTCGGTCAACGACACGTGGCGAGCTAAACCCCGTGAACTTCCTCACACCTGTCCTTCTCGGCTGCTTATCTCGGATTTTTATTCTTCTCCTTCATCTTTTCTATCATTTCCTTTGCAGTAATGGAATTCGATTGAGTGAAAATGGCGGATTTAAGAAATCTAATTGTTCTATCAGTGTTCGCTGGTCTACAAAATTGGAATCTTGGTGACATCTTCTATTTGAAAAACAAAAAATCATATTCTTCTTCTTTTGTTTCATCTATTTGTAATCGGGAAGTGTCGGAATCTTTTTGTAGAACATTTAATCTATCTAAGGTGAGAATAAATTTGTGTTATTCATTGACTGACTTTATGTTCTTTATCGAAAATTTCCAGGTTTATATCACTTTCGATTCAGATTGAATTAATGGTTTCTATTTATCTTCCCTAAGTATTAGATAATTTGATTGTGAAGGACGAAAAGCAGATTTTTTTTTTTCTCCTGTCTAATGCATCTCACCCCATTTTACTTGAGGTCCAGATTTCAGTCACCAAAATTGGCTTCTGCTGGTTGATAAAATAGGGAGAATTTAGGGAAAAAGTCACCATGTTTTAAAGTATTATTTCAATTTGATATAAATTGGACAGGTAGAGAACAACGTGTTGTTGTTTGTGGATGCTAAAGAAAATCACATCTTCCTAGATTGAGTGTTTAATATGCACATAAGGTGTTTATGTTTTTTGTTTTTTATCATGCCTCCTGAGCGGGGTGGCGATGATGATTGTTCTAGCAGTGCCAGATACAGCCATGCCTTTCAAGCCATGGGAGTTCCTCCATTGTCTGAGGTTTATTCTTATCCCTCTCTGACTCTTCTTCCCTTTTCTTTAAAGCCCGATATATATATATATATATATATATATCTGTGTGTGTGTGTGTGTGTGTGTGTGAGATGAAAACAATATCCACATGTTGGTATATTCTTTTTTTGAATACATTCATCTATGTAGCATTGATGAATGAAAGAGTAATACTTATATGGAATCCATATCACATTTGGATAGCCAAAACCTGGATCTGACTGAAATACATTTTTAACTAAATCAATGAGTTGTGGCCTTAAAAGGAGTTTGTTTTCATTATGACACTCGCTATGAGATAAGTATTGCGATTTGTGACTCCATCACTCAAAATTTTCATGTACGGACTGAAAATGGTTTCTTAAGTATTACAAAGAGCTTTCTAACCTAAATTTATGATGTTGTACTTCTACAGAACCGAAGTACTACGTGTGGACAACACGAGGAGGAAATACTCTTACAAATTCGTAAAATTTCAAATTTGGAACTTAATATGAATGGTGAACAAGCAGAGTTTGAATCTTTTGATGAATTCCAGTTCCTTGAAGCTGATCAGCAAACTTATCAGTCCAAAAAGTAAGGTGAATATCTTAACAATGTTGAGCAGCCAACATTAGCTTATTACAATCAGGTGACTCTTTACATCCTTTGTAATTATTAGTTTGATATATATGACTATTTAAGTGTTTCTTTATCGTTTTGACTCTGTTGTAAAAGATGGAAAGACCAGCAAGGCAAGGGTGTGGTTTGGATTTGTCATTTAATAATTGAATTTGTTTTCATTCCGGCTCAAACTTAAAATTCTTTATTCTTTTAATTTCATTTCCCACCATCTGAATCTATGTTCCTCTTTGCTTGAAAGTTTATTAATCAGAGTTGTGCCCATTTTTTAATGTATGTGAAGCTTTTGTTTTTAACCCCGAGAGAATCAGGTTGTCAATAGGACATTCTCTGCCCAGCTCAAATCAGTGAAAATAATTGTATATACCTTTATGAAATTCATTCAAAAAAAAAAAAAACCTTTGTGAAATTTGAAGTCACTCATTCATAATTGGAATTGGTTTTTTTTTGGGGGGGGCTGACTAAAGTATCAGTTGAGTTTGCCATTAAAATTAAATGAAAAAAGTAAGTCTATCTTTGCAAATCCATGTTTATATCTTTACCACAAAGTTTCCCAATCGTATTACTTATTTGTTGTTTTTGGTAGCTGCTAATGATCATCTTCTGGTTTCCATGTGAATAGACGTAGGGGAAGTCAAAAGTGAAATTGTAGCGGTTTTTTTAGAGTAGACAGATTGTGAAAGAGCGCAAAGATGGATTTCTACATGATATTTATTTGCATATTGGGTGTTTGATTTTAGGTCTCAATGATTTTTTACATAAGATTGAGACAAATATCGATAATCCAGTTTTAAGATTTTGTTCTCATGAACCTTTCTTCAATGACTGTTTAATAGAGAATCATACCTTGCATTTCATGTGATACATGTCACTAATTTCAGTCCTCCTTAATTAATATACCATTAGTATCAATGCATCACTTATCTCGCTAGATATGAATCGGGTTGTATGAATCATGTGTCACTATCTTTCACTATCAAAAGATAAGAGATGTTTAGAACCTTGTTATGCCTGCATTAATTCATGATTGCTTAGATGAAAACAACACCCTTTTTGAGACAAAATGACTGATCTGTTAGCTCTGCAGGGAGGATCTGGTTATGTTCAAGAAGTACGCTATCAAAATGTGATGGGATAAGATGTTGCTAATCCCATAATCATCGACCAATGCTTCTGTGATTCACCAGTTTCTTGCAGAAACCAGGTGAAGTGGCCATAAGCACGGTGGCTGAAAATAGTAAAAGTGAAGTGTTAATTACTTCAGTAACTTGAGATTAGAAATTTAGACTTTGATCATGCTTGTTTTCTTTATCGATCTTACTTGTAATAATTCTTATCGAATTTGAGGCAAAGTTGACTAATGATGATAGTTTGAAATGTTACTCTTCTGTCTAATGAACCATCAAGTTGTGCTAATGCAGTTGATGTATTTGAGGGGTTTGACTTTTGGTCCAAAAGAAACATCTTATTATTTCAATTAACAAACTGTCAAAATTAAATTTGTTTTATTATAGTGTTCGAATTTGGAAAAAGATTACTGGTAGATTGAGTTTTTGCAGAGATCGATTACGAGGATAGTTGAGTTTGGCCAAATATTCCCAGGTACACTGGAAAATGCAAAACATAACCATGAATTTATTTACACACAGAACTTCATTCCCTTCTATTAATAGCAGTAGATAAAACACCAAGAAACAAAATGATAGACTGTATACTATATAAAATATAGGATATATATATATATATATCACCAAATATAGACAAATGTGTTCAATCCTATTACTAATGTGTGAGGAGGTGGTACAAATCTACTTTGCTTTCCCATCGGTTCCAATACGTGGACTCATTGCCTCTTACTTACCGTTTCCCTCTACTGAATATAAAAATTACATATATCTATATATGTTACGCTAGATAAAACTCATTAGGCTCTAATTCCTACTCCACCACACAATGTGCAGCGCCCCTCCCCTAGTTTAAATTTAAAACTTTCTTAATATACTTAATTTCTATATCACCTGTTTGCTTTTTGAATTTTATTTAACAAAAAGAAAAGGCCAATAACGTTATATTATTTTTGCATCTAATTTCTAACATATACATTTTGACGTATCCGTGCAACACACGGACAAAACCTAGTAATGTTCAACAAAACACACCATTTTCTTCGCTCCGGTTCATAATACTTACCATTGGTGGTATAATTTTCATTATATTTTTTTTAGAAAATCTGAAATCCGGAAGACATATTTATTTATACAGTTTTTTTTTTTTTTTTCTTTTTTGGGGTGGGGAAACAAAATTGGATTAAAATGCAGAAAGATATAATAATAATACAGAAAGCGTAAATAACAGCAAATTCGCTGACTTGGAGTAACGTTTTCTTTTGAACACGGTCGGCACGGGCAGCACCCAGTCCAGCCCGCAAATTTAGAAATTGTTACAGAGATTCCACTGCATTTTTTTTTTCCCCTCTTCTTCTTGAGAATTTTCCAATTGATTTCGTCTCTAGTTGGAGCAGCTGGTTTTGATGCAATTTCCGTCTCGATTGAATCCATTGACCACCGGCGAGGGTTGAAAACCCTGGATCTCGTTCTCGTTCTCTGATCTCCAGTAGCTTTTTCTTTTTCGATTTTTCAATCGGGCGATTCGAAGAAGAAAAACGGATCTAAAGGTGTTCGAAGTATGCCCGTGGCAGCTTCAGCTATATACTTTTTAAATCTTCGGGGCGATGTCCTCATCAACCGCCTCTACCGCGACGATGTCGGGTAATATGATTACTGCTGTCGGTTTTCTCTCGATTTTTATTTTCTCTTCAAGCTTTTAATTATTTGATTAGAAATAACAAAATAGCTTGTTAGGTTTCTGTTTAGGAAGAAATTGTGGTCTTCTGCTTCAAGAATGAAGCTTGTTTTGGGCAATTATTTTGTGTCCGGGTTATTTATGAGATTGGATCTCCATCATTAGCCTTTCGTTTCATTTCCTCTTGCTTTAATCTTGCAAGTAGGTTTACTTTGTCGGAGTCATTGGGAGTTTTTGGAGGAAGGACATAGGAAATGTTAGCTATGAACAAGTGAACAGTAAGTTTATAAGAGCTTAGTTAAATAGGAAAGAGATTAAATGATTCTGTATAATTTGCTATATAATGTGTAACTACTTCTCGGGATAAAGTTTCCATTTTGAGGAGCTTAATCATGGTCACTTTATACAATAAGTGTATATCCATGGGAAGAGATGGTTTTCATAGTCTCTCCCACTTTTTGAATAACCATAGCTATAGAAAAGAAGGGGTTTATGTTCATGGTTTTAATGAAAGAGAGGATCAGTTCTGATAGTGGGATTTCAAATTTTCATTTGACCTGTCATGTTTTAAGAAGTATAATGATCTTGGTCAGTTTACACATTAACTCTATGTTCATGGGAAGAGACGGTTTCTTACTTTCTTTCGCCTTTTTGAGTATTCGTAGCTATCGTAAAGAAAGGGTTTGGTTTCAAGGTTTTAGTAACTATCCTCTTTTAGCAAAAGAGAGGATCAGGTCTGACAGTGCGATTTCAAGCTTCATTTGGTCTGTCATGTCTTAAGAAGTATAATGGCTTCTTGCAGAAATACGGACTATTGACTTGTTTTTCAGCTTGGTCAGTATTGGTTAAGAACACGTATATACTTCACTCAACTTGAATAAAACTTTAACTTAGACATTATGAAACTTACTAAGAAACCTGAAGTCTTAAGCGTGATGGTTTCTCTGACAGAAATTTGAAAATATTTCTTCTTTTGTCAACTCCATGCCTTTCGCTTTAGCTGCTTTTTCTAGGATTTGAACTGATTGCGCACTGCAGGAACCAGAATGGTTTAAGACTCATTGTATTGAAACTATCTCTTGTAATCTTGAAAAAGTTTTTAAATTGGGGAGATCCATTAGGAGAAGTGTATCATATGTGCTCTGCGATCGTAAAATATTGCTGAAACTGATTGAAAAGTTTTTGAGCAGTCATGTAACCTAGCAATATGATTAGTGAACGGGTAAGAAAGAAAGTTTATACGTACGCGAGCATGCAAACATATGTTGGATTAATAATGAATGCTATTTGGTAATAAGTGGGTAGCACTATTGGATGATAAAATGGGGGAATCACACCTTTGATGTATTTGACATGATTTATTGTGTTGGAGACATGTCCCAATGATGCTAGTAGAGGGTATAGGGTCAACTAAGTAAAAGGCAAAGAGAAGACCTAAAAAGAATCTGAGAGAAAACTATTAAAAAAAAGCAATTGGTTTTTCAAACATAAATAGAAATGTGATCCATATAACCGACCTAAAAAAGTGAAGTTTATATGAGATGAAAGCATTTTGTTGTTGTCCCTGTAGGATTATGGTCTTCACTCAAATTGGGAAGCTTTTGATTTTAATCCTGTAGACATTTGATACAATTATCTTTTCAGCATCTTGCTATTTATGGAGACATAGCTTCTGTTAAGTATCGAAGTTGTCTTCAACAATGTTAATGGACACGCTATTGTCATGACTTATTTTGGTCTGTGGCAGTGCACCTGTAAATGTTTGACTTCAATTTCTTTTCATTTGGTAAAGGCCTACCATGAATCCAAGTTCGTATCTCTCACGTATTTATCTTGTATGCTGCTTTTCTTTGCAACTCTGACTGCAGAAAGCCTATCAATCATATAATATATATTAACTCTATGTCCTTTTATACATTACTTAATCAGGGGCAATATGGTTGATGCCTTCCGGATGCATATTATGCAAACTAAAGAACTTGGTATATGCCCAGTGCGTCAGATTGGAGGATGCTCTTTCTTCTACATGAGAATCAGCAATGTGTACATTGTGATTGTTGTAAGCAGTAATGCGAATGTCGCATGTGCTTTTAAATTTGTAGTTGAGGTATTTATCTTCTCCTAATCTACGCCCATTTTGTATTTAAGCTTTTATTACTGTGATACAAGTGTGTATCTCGGGTTGTTTTTCCTTCTTATCTTAAGTTATAGTGTATGTGAATAATTGGCTCCTCCTGCAAGTTCTATTTAATTTTTTTGTTTGTCTTTCTGCTATCCCATTGGTTCTCCTGTTGCAATAGTAGAATCAGCCATTTACATGTATGAATGCGTAAATACTGTTCCTTTTTCTATTCTGCATTTATTGGATAATTATTTTCAAATCTTTGACCGGACTGGTTGTTCTCAAATACTTCTTGAAATTAGTCACATCTTTCATCTATGCTGGCTTTCTAGAATGCTGCAAAATGATCTACTATTGACACAAAATATTAATGTATTCTTCCCAATGTCTTTAAAAGTTATAAGCTCGTTCCTTGAAGATTGGGGCATTTTCTGCATCAATTGATTTTTGTATGCATCTGAAATGCAAGGAAATACAACTTAAATTGTCCATTGTCCAGTTTTGTTGGTTCCATTCCATGTGCGTTCTGTTGTTTCTGTTTGAAATCTATTGCAGAACTTAGGTAATAACTGTTCCTTACTGGTACTTGAGTAATCAGTTCCTGGTCTGTTTTCCTGCAATATTTAGATACTACTAGATTGTTCTAACGTTTAGGATATCCTTTTTTGAGCTCACTACGTACAATAGCTTAACTTACTAAGTGGACCACATAATAGCTTAACTTACTTACTGAACAGTGTAGTTCGATATTCTTTTCTTTTCTTTTCTTGACATTCATTACTGATTATCATTTAAAACTTATTTCGCAGGCAGTTAATTTATTCAAGTCATATTTTGGTGGCGCTTTTGATGAGGATGCTATTCGGAATAATTTTGTCTTGATATACGAGCTTTTGGATGGTAAGGACACTCACCTTGCAACAGTAGATGGGATATATTTGATTATTCTTTGAGGTTTGTTTGCCATTTCTTATTTTCTTTCTATTGTTTGCATTTCCTTTTTAGCCGTTTGTCTTATAATCTTCTGGTACGTGTATTTAGTTGCCATTAAAAGATTTACAATTACCTTTGGCTGGCATGAGGAATTAGACAATGAGGATAGAAAGGCAAACTATAGCATGCTCACTTTTGAGTATAAGGAATAGTTCTTTTTACTCTGAAGGTGTCATTTGCGACTTGGTTCTCCCAAATATGTCAATTCATTCTCTATCCAGTGTGACCCAGTCCATTTTGTTGGCATATGCATGCAAGAGATGTTACCTTCTTGTGCACAAGTTGGTCATTCATTTATCACAAATATTAACTTTGAAGTTTCAGTATCATGTAATATGGAATCTAATTGGTTAACTACTTACCTGTGATGACCTGTTAATTACTTGCATTTTGTTACAGAAATAATGGATTTTGGCTATCCCCAAAATCTGTCGCCAGAAATTTTGAAGCTTTATATCACTCAAGAAGGCGTTCGCTCTCCATTTTCGTCTAAGGTTAGATCCTTGCGGCTTCTCTTACAAAATTTTATGCATGTTAATGGAGTAGGGTTAGAGATTCTGAAGGATGCTTTACATGAGTATTATCCAAGTGATGAGTCTGATGTTGTTGAAATAGCCTGGCATCCTGATGATCTATTTCTAATAGGCTGCAGAGAAACCAGTCCCCAATGCAACTTTACAAGTTACCGGTGCTGTTGGCTGGCGTAGGGAGGGGCTCGTATATAAGAAGAATGAGGTGGTTCATTACCCTAGTTCATTTCAACTTATCTTCGGTGTAAATTTTTTCCATTCACATAAAGTGTCTACCTTTTGACAGGTGTTCTTGGATATTGTGGAAAGTGTCAACCTTCTCATGTCTTCCAAAGGTAAAATTCATCTCCTACGGGATATCTGTATCCCTGCTTGCATGCTCTGGTTTCTTATTTACAGCTTGATATGTATAGGTAGTGTTTATACTTCGGTTTCTTATTGACAGTTGATATGTATAGGTAGTGTTTTGCGCTGTGATGTCACTGGAAAAATTCTGATGAAGTGCTTCCTTTCCGGAATGCCGGATTTAAAATTGGGCTTAAATGATAAGATTGGCCTCGAGAAAGAATCACAGCTGAAGTCTCGCCCTACTAAGAGGTGTGTCTCTTTATCTACTAGATTCTGGACCATTAGTGATGGTGTAACCAGCTGTTTAATCCTTGTTACCTATGATGTAAACGTACCGGTTCATTTTGGGATTGGGATTGGGATGGCAGTTTGGGGTATAATTCCTTGATCTTCAATGGTCACTGGACTCACTTTTATTAGTTGTCAGGGTACTCTTCCTTTGAATTCGCTCACATGTGCACTTACCTGTTTAATGGATCAAAGTTTCTTTTCAATATTACTTTGGCCAAATTGCAGCAGAAGTCTAGGCTTCAATTCCTCAGAAGAATATAATTCCCAGAAGAGCTTGATAATTTGATTAAATTTCTTCCAATATTTAAAAGTTCATTGATACAAAGCTATTAAAACTGGGTAGCAGGAACTTGAGCTGAATGCAGAGTGGGACTGAATGTTTGAGGATTTTGAGGTAATAATTGACAAGTGAGGATAAGGAGAAGCACTGCCCCGTGTGAACGGCCTTACCACTCATATTTATTCCCACTTTCTGTTTTGGAATCATAGTTTCCATATCCCAATATACCTTTACATCATAGAACGCTTCCTTTCACATTTCTGATATAACTTTGATATTTTAAAACCAAAACAGAAACCTAAACAGCCACTAAAAACATCATAGTTACTAAGTATGAGAACTGCTGTGTTATCATTATGTATTTATAAAATGAACCAAAGAAAAGGATAATGGAGAAACCACATCTTCTTCACGGGAATGTTGCTCAGATAAAAATAAAAAAAAGGACTGGAGAGATTGATCTTGTATAGGTTTATGTCAATGCGTCAGCAAGCCTCATACTTATCATGAAGTGAAGAGGATCATTTATGGTTATCAATGATCTGTTTTTTTTGTACACCCTAGACTATAATTACGCAAACCATAGTTAAATAACTAGAAAGGATTCTTTAATTAATGAAATTGAAAGAAGACTTGAAGCCTCCTCCTCTTCCCCCAAAAACAGGTTTCCCAACTTCCCTCTCAAAACTCTGGTATTTCTGATGTTGTTCCATTTGGTAGTAAATGAACTGCTAAATGCACGCTTCTAGTTACTATGGCTCTAGATTTTTGTATGCACTGGAATAATCTCGTTCTGTTTTCTTGTATTCAATTCCACTGAAAGTCTAGTTAACTGTGGATTCTAGGGCATCCAAATTTATGACAACCATTCTTTTCACTTGTTACCTTGACTATAATTTAACATCAACAAAGCTTCGGAGGTTTTCTTTTTCTTTTACTTGGAATATTATTGTTCTTTTGTGAATAGCGAGTGTGTGCTTCGTTTGCTTTTTCCTTATAATCTTACTCTTTTTTCCCCCCTTTATATGCTTTAGTCTTTATCATATTTTTCCTGAAAAATTGGTTAACTGCTTCAGGGTTATGAATGATGTTTGTTTGAGCATCCACATAATGCATTGATTGCCTTTTATTCCTTCTCTACTTATGTCAGAGTTGTTTGCTATTTTGCAGTGGGAAAACTATTGAGCTTGATGATGTTACTTTTCATCAATGCGTAAACTTGACAAGATTTAACTCGGAAAAGACCGTCAGCTTTGTTCCTCCGGATGGTGAATTTGAACTAATGAAGTAAGTTTCCAGACTCTTAATGTGGTAATGGATTAAATTCTTATACTTGCACATGCGGAGCTGTAGATTTTGTGCATCCATGTGCTGGTTGTTAGTTTATGTTGTCAAGGCTGCTGCATTATTTTTATTGCTCTTTTACCTCCTATGTGAGTATGAAATTGGGAGTTGTGTTTTCATCAGAATTATGAACAGGAGAATAGACTGGAACCACTTCAGGTGAACAACTATTATGTCTGGAAAACATAAGAATTACAAACTGAATTATAAAGGAAGAGGAAGGTCAAAAGAAAACATTTGAAAATAACTGTGGTAAAGAGATGATACATCTGAGCATATATGTGAATGTATAGCAATAGAACACAATAATAAAATGATGCCCATCACCAACTCCACATAATGGGATAAAGACTGTTATTTTTTTTGTTGTCATTTGTTTCTTTCAAGGGTGGGGGATGTTGGGTGGATGGTTTGCACTGTCTTTGTTCTAAGGTTGTTCTATATGAGCTTGTAAACGTATGCTAGTACTATTATTGTGATGGAACAATAGTCAGTCATGTGAAATTGCCATAGGTGCACCTAATGGTTTTCTTACTGCGTGTTAATTATGTCATAGGTACCGCATCACTGAGGGTGTGAACCTTCCTTTCCGAGTATTGCCAACTATCAAGGAACTTGGCCGCACACGGATGGAAGTGAATGTTAAGGTTTATCATCTGTTCTGAATCTGTGTTTTATTCAGCATATTAATTAGTATTTGGTCTCATATTCTACATCAATTTTCAGGTTAAGAGTGTTTTTGGTGCAAAAATGTTTGCACTTGGAGTTGTGGTTAAAATTCCAGTACCTAAACAAACTGCAAAGACAAGTTTCCAAGTTACATCAGGTCGAGCAAAGTACAATGCATCTATTGACTGTTTGGTCTGGAAGTGAGTGTTACAACCCCTAGCTTACAAATATTCTAGATTTTCTTCTACGTCTATATTTATTTAATGGATCGTATTTTACTCATGATGGAATTTAAGGTGGTTCTGCAGAGTTAGAATATTTACGTGCTGATACCATGGTAGAACATTTCTTTCCTGTAGTTTTTACAGCTGATTAATCTATTTTATGAAACTGTTATTTGGGTTGTTGATTCATTGGTTCATTCTCCTTCCCTTGTGGTTCTCAACTTGTCAATAGTTTCGTCGTTTAAGCTAAGATATATCTTGCCTTCTCAAAAATTTACTTTTAAGATCTTCATGCCTTTTAAATCTCATTCACTATCCAATAGTTCTGTAACCATGTGGTGTTGTAGTCTTCCGTAATAGCTCATTGTTTTTATGAGATAGATGTTTGACTGGTTATTAGGTATCTCTAATATCTGCTGTTTCGTAGATTCATTGGGTGGATGATTTCTGAGAGATTCTTGCACGATTGCGTAATTTATTCAGAAACTATATTTGTTTTGTAACTGCAAGTGGTGAAATTACAACTCTTTTAAGTAATGATCCTTATATTTCCATCGTTACTAATATTTTATTCAGCAAAGATGAGTTTTGAGTGCCTTGTTTTAGAGTATATGTGGTTGCTTTTGGTTATATTCCATGTAAAATCTTAGGCTTTTAGATGTCTCTTCACCTTTGAGAGCCACTCTTCTAAAAGATTGCATCATTGATTTATTTACTTCATTTGTTAATATTCTGATGTGCTTTCCTATTCAATTTTGCAGGATAAGAAAATTTCCCGGTCAAACTGAGCCAACCTTGAGTGCTGAAGTGGAGTTGATTTCCACTATGGCAGAAAAAAAGTCATGGACTAGGCCTCCTATTCAGATGGAATTTCAGGTGTTTAACTGCATTCCATATTTTGTTGCAACTGTTGATTTACATGGTCTGCATCCACAGTCTTTACCATACTAAATGCTCTACTCTGTTACTCGGCAGTTCGAAGTATATGTTTTCATTAAATTAGTCTTCCTTCCTTTTCCTCATGGATATCGAAGTGATAATTTTGAATAATAAATTTAGGTGAAAAATGGGAGAAACTTTTGTTAGTGTCAATTTGGTTTTCGAGTTCAGTTTTGAATTTTCAGTGCTTCTTTCCTGTCTATAACACCAACTCTGGTGTTTGGAGAGACTGATGGAGATTTTGGCTTGCAGGTTCCTATGTTTACGGCATCAGGTTTACGTGTCCGCTTTTTGAAGGTATGATTTTGACTGAACCATTGTAGAATGATTTGCTTTTTTACGTAATCTAACTTGAGAGTTGCGGATGGATGGTATGCAGGTATGGGAGAAGAGTGGGTATAATACTGTTGAGTGGGTTCGTTACATTACAAAGGCAGGTTCTTACGAAATTAGGTGCTAGACAAGGATTAAGGCCTGTGGTATTGATTTCAATGGTTGTGTCGAGGGGGAGGGGGATGTTTTTTGGGGCCTGCTTATCTGATGTATTATTCTTTAAAAGATTTATGTATATGATTGATCATCTTTGTTTGCGTTTGTACTACCAGTTTGGCCAAAAGAGCTTGTTGAACTCCTCTTAGGCAATTAGTTATATGAATCTCAAATGAACTCCAAATGTGTCCATTTATAAACCGTTTACTTATTTAATTCAATTAAGTTTTTTTTTTTTCGTGCTTATCTTTTTTGAAATGTAAAGCTGCACTGTTATTTGTTCTACGACGAGCATGGCAATATTCTTGAAACGGAAGGAGTAAATGTTAGTATGTAAGTTTAAATTGTCATTTACCATTATTTTTTTAAAAAAGTTATTAGCTTCCCTAGGTTTTTTTTCTCCCTTAAAGATTTTCTGTATTCCTCTATAAATTCTTTTTTCAACTGATTTTTATTTCTGAAATAATTAATAATGATTTTGGAAGAGGAAAAATTGACTTTCGTAAATTCTTTGACAAGATCCAAGATGATTTTGCCCAGAATAATGCTTTCCTTTCTTCACAATGGAAATCTTTTGTATGGACTACTATGGATTAGAAAAAAAAAAATAAGCAAGGAAAATGGATAATTAGTACTCCCTCTGTCCTATAATTATTGTCTACTTTGTCAAAAAAATTTTGTTCCAAAATTATTGTTCAATTTGACTTTTTATGGATTAAGTTATTAATTTGCCCTTTAGCAAAATTTTGACCTTATAGCCATTAACGACAGTGATATCCCTGCCGGCCACCACTTCCTCCTCGCTTCCTGGATCTGGCGAAAAAGATTTCTCAGATTTCTTTTCTCATAATTAGATGACGATAAAGCGGATGATTTCTTCTCCTCTCGCAAACTGAAAACCCGAGCCCTTGAATCGCTGACCGTACGGTGTTGCAGCCCTCGAACGTCTTCCCGATTCCCCTCAACGTGGTGGTGTATATTACCACCTTGTTTTCCCCGTTTGACAGGCAGATGGATTCGTATTTATCCATATGGGAAGGAGAAGGAGACCGGTGGTGGGCCCAATTGAATGCGGGCAGTGGGGACGAGAGGAGGAGATTTAGATTTGAATTTTCTTTTGAAAGCAGCGGGAGAGGAGTAGGGGTGGAGGAATCGAGTCCGACAATGAGCTTCGAGGAGTTGATAACGTCATTTACCAGCGGAGGTTTCAACGAGGTGAGATCTGAGGAAGGTGGAGAGGAGAGGGTGAACCGGGGAGGTGGAGTGGGAGCAACGGTGGTGGCGGCCAAAGGAGGAGGTGGAGGAGATGAGGGCGGCGACGGTGGGTAGAGTGTGGAGGCTGTAGGTGGTGGATTTGAGGTAAACAATGTGGTGGGCGATAGTTTTATGAGCAACTGGGGTTAGGGGAATACAGGTAAAAAATTGTTCCCGTCATCATATTCTATCGGCAGGAGATGGAGTTAAAAAGTCACTTATGCAGGTTATTTGAGACAAAATATTGTTAAGTTTGACCAAAAATAAAATCTTCCATTTTAACCAAACTGGACAATAATTATGGAACGGAGGGAGTACTAGTAATTCTGAGAATTCTACTTGACCTCAAACACCATTAACCGAGTGGTCTAGTAGGAAAACATAATGTCATATCTACCCTTCTAATCATGATATGATAACTTGAACATTTCCACAAAGTGTAAAAGCAATAACATCTTCATTCTCACTCTAGATTTACGCACTGTAAACTAAAAGAAAAAAACCAATGGAAGGCGACCCTGTCGAGGGGAACCCCGATAGGACCAACGGAAAACAGCAAATTAACATCAATCCTCCTCAATTAAAACCAAATGTAAGCCCTGCAACCAAAGGAGATGCCATGGATACAACAGAAGCAGGGAAAACTCCAGGAATGTGCCATCGTTCAAGGAGCGCCTACTTGGAAGTAGGAAGAGAAGAGCAACAACAAAAATACATGTGGAACCTGGGGATGTCATCATGGAAAAAATACCTATGGGAGGCAGACTTAGATTCTCTGAGAGGTTGAAGAATATCTTCAAAGAGGATTGGGAGCATATGGTGGTAGTATCCTTAATTGGGGACACACTGACTTACAGAGGATTAGGAAGTGCAGTAAAGAAGATGTGGTGTCCTAATGGAGATTTCGAACTAATAGACTTTACAAATGGTTTCTGGGGGGTATTGCTACCTAATGAAGGGCCATGGTTCATTGGGACACAATGCTCATCGGTGCAAAAGTGGAAGCTGGGGTTCAGGGGGTCAACTGCCAAAGTGTCCAAAATAGCCACTTGGATTCGACTCCCTGATCTTCTGGTAGAATACTACCATGAAACCGCATTGACCTACATAGGTAATTTTGTTGGACGAACATTGAAAATTGATGAAAACACACTGAATGCAAATCGAGGCAGGTTTGCTAGAGTTGCTGTGGAGTTGGATTTAGAGGAACCATTAGTACCTAGTTTCCAAATCGAAGACCGGTGGCAAGCAGTGGAGTACGAAGGACTGTCGGTGATTTGCTATAATTGTGGAAGAATTGGGCATGGTAGTGCAGGTTGCAAAGAGGAAACCAGAAATCCAAGCTTAGCAAATCCGGTCTCTAGCGAGCTTGAGGGACAGTCGGCCGCCGGAATTACGAAGGAAGGAAATGTACAATCAATAATAATTAATAATCAGCAAAGAGAACATGAAGAGGGTTGAATAGGATTGGGGCCGTGGATGGTTACCCAAAGGAGAGCAGGGAGATATGTCAGACAGCCAAATATGGTATGAAATGCCGTATGGACCGAAGAATGGGTTACGAGGGGAATAGGTTGTCTGTGAGATAAGTCCTTCTACTTTATAGTATGATGGACGGTCCATTGCATTGAAATATGGTATGAAATGTGAATCTGTGTTAAAGTGTTAATATATGGCATATTTGCAGTAGAGCTTTTGTTTTCTATGTTAAATGTAAAGTGATGTCCCTAAGAAACGAATCGAACACACACAAGCGTGGGGGCTAAAAGTAGCTATAGTTTGCATATTGTTGGGTAGTCCATACTAGAGTTAGTCGAGGTCTTTGTGTTATATAATGATTGAATCTCTGAGGCCGCCAAAATTAAATAATTTAATATTTTTATTTGTTTTAATCTTTGGAAATGCTTGAGAACAAGCAATAATTCAAGTTTGGGGTATTTGATATGCTTATATTTTACCTATTTATTATATCCTTAATTTGTCATTTTTGTAATATATTTTGAGTATAAATGTGCTATTTATGTGATTTTATCTTTAATTGTAGGAATTGTACTCAAAAGGAGGAATTGTTGAAATTTTGGGTTAAAATGAAGATAAAAGTAACTCAAAGGGAGAATTGAAGATTTGATAAATTAACAAGGAAGAAATTGAAATGCTTAAAAAATTGGAGAATTAAACAAGCAATTTTGGAATTCTTGATTATAGAAATTGGCCAAGAGCTCAAGGACTTGCGGTTGACTTGGGATTCAATTTGGGTAAGAATTTTAATCCCAACATTATTTGGAAAACAAATTTTAGGGATTAGGGATTAGGGATTAGGGAAGCCTATAAAAGGAGGATTAGGGATTTATTTTTAGAACCGAACTGGACCGAAAACCCACGCCTCCTTCACGGCTGCAACTCCTCCACCGTACTTCACCGAAATCCAGCCGATCCAAGCAGCCACCTCCTCTTCTCCTTCGCGCAGCAACCATCGTCATCATCACCACCGCATCACCGAAGCTACCCAAGTCCAACCATCTTCGCACAACCCCAGCCAAGCCGACAGCCTTCCTCTTCTCCTTGCCGCAGCAACTTTGCGCAGCAACCAAAGCACCTCCTGACCTTTGAGCTTCCAGTAGCAGCCAAGGAGAAGTGGAAGCAAGCAGCAGCCCAACTCCTTCATCTCCTTTATGCAGCAAGAACCTTGCGCACCTTTTTCCTGCGCACAACTCCACCACCACCTTGCTTCGATTAGCCACCACTTCTAGCAATTCATGCCATCATCATCATCCAGCAAGGCAGCCACACATCAAGAGTAGTAGAAGCAGAAAGGAGCAAAGCTTGGGATTTATCTTTCACGATTAGTTTTCGATGGCATTGTTCTACATCCGGATTTTATTGTTTTTGTTTTATTTATTAAATTTCAGACCTTTTTTATGATGATACTAAATATTATTGAATTATTTTTAATAATTTTTAGTGGTTAAACTCCTTTAACCTAGGGCTTGGATGTAGCCTTCGGATTATTTGGTTTGCTTTGATTCATATTATTTGGCTTTTTCTTTAATCAATATTTAATATTCTTGATTTAATTCGTGTAAGTAGCTGGCCATTATTTGCATGTTTAGAGGTGTTTAAATGAAGGAACGACAATTGAAGGTTAACACTAGTCCATAGGAATATTAAACTTAGGAAGTGAGCCACGACAGTAGGAGCATTGCCTTTGCAACTAATAATTCTTAAGATCGTAATGTGTTTTAGTTATATCCTATAGTCACGACAGTAGTCATAAGATTAATTAAAGTAAGAGAATTATATCACGACGGTGAATAGTTCTTAAATAGGTGAATTCTTGTGAGATTAATGAAAATCCAAAGCCAAATAATTATGAATTAGAATTGAGCCAAGTATTCGGTAGGTGAACCCAATGTCCTAGCTTTGCTTTGTCTGATTATTTGAATTAATATTATTTACTTTTATTTTATTTATTTATTTTAGTTTTTTAAATCTGAGATCATCATTTATCTAGATAATAATAGGAGTAATTTATACCTGGTAATTAGTATTCCTTCTCTGTGGGATCGACCCTGCTTGCTACTTTAATACTGGTAATTGTATTAAGTAGGTAATTATTATTTGACTTGTTTAACGACAGCTTGTCAGTAAGGGGTCACCGAAAATGGGAAGAACGGTGACCGGATTGCAAAGTTCAGAGGGGTTGGGGGAAGTCAGAGAAAGAAGAAGAAGAAAGAATTAATCAGAGGATGATGAAAATAGGTTTAGTCGAACAAGTCAAGAAGGATCTCATTAACACGATGATTTCTTATATGGCTATTACAGATTATAATAGCAATTACTCTAATCTCTTAATTAAAACATGACCCTACTATTAAGTAATACAAACTTAACCCTCAAGATCATGACACCAAACCAAAGAGCCCTAAGAGTCCAGAAAGCCCAAAAAGTAGCAAGTGAAACAAGTAAGGTCAACCCAGCCCAACAGAATGCCACTACAGCCCAACCAACATTAGACCAGAATACTAACAAGCCTAAAATGTCATGTCCCTGGACCTAATTATAGGAATTAGAAAGTCTAGGGACTAAAGTATAATTTTAAAAAGGTAAATTATAAATATGTAGTCTACCAGGGGCTGTAATCAAATTATCCAAAATATTATGTCAAATTGGAATTTTTCAATTTCTCTTTCTTCTTCGTTCGTCCCCAATTTTCCCGTAACCCTAAATCTTCGATCTCTGTCCATTTCCTCCTTTATTCTATTTTCCGACCACCCCAAGGCCCCCGGACGTGACATAACCCCCCCTCCCCCCCGCAGTTAACACAACAAACCCAACTATAAGAAACTAGTAGTGTCTCAGGAAAAGAACTAGTAATTGAGTCAGAAAATACCAAGTTGACCCAACCTAAAGGTAACCCAATTAGGCCTACCAAAAGAATCCAAGGGAGAAATAACCCAAGTCAGCAACAATCCAAAAACGACTACCCTATATTAGGATGGGATTCAGAATTTGTCAGTCTACCAGAAGGGGTTAAAAAACATGGCAGGATTACCCCCAATTTGAAAGAGGTGCCACCGTCAATCATGCCGGCGGACATGGCAGTTGATCCCACTCCGGAGTTGAATAAACCTCCGGACCCACCAGAATTACAGAGCAGTCGGATGGATGCGCAACATGAAGAAATAGCAATGGAAGCAGAGAATCTCCTCTGTAGGGAGGACTAGGTATGATTTGATATCTATCCTCTTTCAATTAATTTTTAATGAAGATCATCGCTTGGAAAATGCAGGGTGCAGGCTTTGAGAAATTCAAACCTGCAATTAAAAAAATTAGAAAAGACCATAAGCCTGACATTCTAATAGCTATGGGACCACGTATTAGCAGTACAGGAGCTACGAGAATTATCAGAAGTGTCGGATTTAAGGATTGGTTTATCGTGGATGCTGCGGGATTTTCCGGGGGAATATGGGTTTTGTGGGATATAAATAGAGTCAAGGTTACTGTTTTGGCCTCATCAAACCAGTGGGTACATTTTCTTTGGGAATCAGATGAGGGGAAAGGATTTTGCACAGCTGTCTACGCAGCCTGGGTTCCCCAGAAAACAAAGAGTTTGTGGCAGGAGTTGGTATCAATAAAAAATCAAATATCAGGACCCTGGGTTGTAATAGAGGGACCTAAATGTGTATCTCAGTGTTGATGAGAAACAAGGTGGAGCACCTGTTAACAGAGCTAAGTGTCGGGAGCTTCATGATTTTATGCACAAAAGTGGATTACAATACATGGGATTTGTTGGCCCGAGGTTCACTTGGAAAAGAGGATAGTTACAAGAAAGAATCGATACGGCACTGTGTAACCCTGATTGGAGATTGCAGTTCCCAGATAGCACTGTGATGCATTTAACTAGAATCAAGTCTGATCACAGACTAATTATGTTGAGGTTAACACAAGACTTGGCGCCTGAAAAAGCTGAAAGGCCATTCCATTTTCAAGTATGTTGTCTCACACATGGAGAATTTAACAGATTCATTAGTCAAACGTGGAGAGCAGAAGAAGGATACAAGGTAGCAGAAGAGGTATTACGACAACACCTGATTGTGTGGAATAGAAGGGTAGTCGACAATATATTTACTCGTAAAAGAAAACTCACCAAAAAATTAGAGGAGTTGGAGCGTAGAATTGATTATGATCAGTCGGAATGGCTTGTAAGACAGAGGGATGCAACTCAAGTGCAGCTAGAAGAGATGTTGGTACAACAAGAAATATTGTGGTTCCAAAAATCTAGGACTAAGTGGTTGCAACTTGGTGACAAGAACACAAGGTACTTCCACCTCAGTACCATGGGCAAAAAGAAAACGTGGGAAAATAGTTAGACTTCAAGATGCCAATGGAGTGTAGATTGATGATCAGAGTGAGCTAAAGAAGATGGCGGTATAATACTTTAATAAACTATTCAGCAGGGAGGAGTCACATGAACCAGACCCGGTATGGAGTTCAAACTTTCCGCAGTTGAGATCAGAAGAAAAGACAGCATTGACAAGGTTGATTAAGGAAGATGAAGTCAGGAGAGCAGCGTTCGAAATGGGACCGTACAAAGCCCCTGGACCGGATGGATAGAGCCCTATTTTCTTTCAAACAATGGAAGACAATAAGGAAAACAGTAACTAAGTTCATAAGGGAATGCTTTAGAGATGGTCATATACCACCCAAAATAAATGAAACACTGTTGGTGCTCATCCTAAAGAAAAATCAGCCAGACCGATTAGTCTGTGTAATGTGATATTTAAAATTCTTACCAAAGTGGTGGCAAACAAATTAAAGCCAATCATGGGAAAAATGGTGAGTCCAATGCAAACAAGCTTCGTCCCAGGACGTAAACTGGCAGACAATACAACCATTGTGCAGGAAATCATTCATTCCATGAGACTAAAAAAGGGGAAGAAGGCTTGGATGACTGTTAAAATTGATTTGGAGAAGGCGTATGACCGATTGAGATGGGATTTCATCAGGGATACTCTGATTAGAGCAGGGCTTCCATTGAAATTAGTTGATATTATTGATGAATGCAACAAATCTGCCACCATGAGAGTCCTGTGGAATGGAGGGATCACGGAGGAATTCAAATTGACACAAGGAATAAGACAGGGAGATTCTCTTTCACCCTATCTCTTTGTACTTTGCATGGAAATTTTAGGTTATAACATTGTTGATGCAGTAAATAAAAACGAGTGGAAGGGCATACGCATTGGGACAACAGGACCCATCGTGTCACATTTATTTTTGCCAATGATTTATTGTTATTCTTTGAAGTGTCATTAGAGCAAGTTGATATTATGAATCGCATTTTGAATGACTTTTACAGGTACTCAAGGGAGAAGATTAATAAACAGAAAACTAAGATCTTCTTTTACAGGAATGCTCCTGATCATTTAAGGAATGCCATCAGCCGCAAATTAGGTTTTGGAGAAACTAAAAATCTGAGCCAATATCTCGGTTCACCAGTCATCCACGGGAGAATCACGAAAAGCACTTATAGGGATATCCTTGATAAAATCAAAGCAAAGTTGTCTGGGTGGAAAGCAAGTCAACTGACTCTAGCAAGAAGGATAACTCTAGCTCAATCATGCTTACAGTCTATCCCGAGGTTTCAGGTGCAATCAACAAAGTTGCCGGCATATTTATGTGAGGAAGTTGACAGATTGGTGAGAAATTTTGTGTGGGGTTCAACGGCTGATAAAAAGAAAATGCACCTTGTCAAATGGGAAAAATTTTGCAACCATAAAAAAAGGGGGTCCCCGACTGAGGAAAGCACGAAAAAGCAATATGGCTTTCCTTATGAAAATAGGATGGGAGTTACTGACTAGAGAAGATGAACTCTGGGTGCAAGTACTTCGGGCTAAGTATTGTAGACGAGGGCCTGGGGGCTTGGTCATGAAACAGGTTAGGAATGCTTCTCAAACATGGAAGGGAGTTCTGGAAGTGAGTCACCTACTGAAAAAAAGGCATCACATGGGTGATTAGAAACGGGAGATCAGTGAAGTTCTGGGAGGACGTTTGGGTTGAGGGAGTAGGCAAATTAAAAGATCAGTTGGTGCACCCAATTCCAGAATACTATAAACTATAAAATGTCGTGGAATTTGTGTTACCGAATGGAACTTGGGACGTCCATAAATTCAGACACTATCTTCCATATAGTGTAGTGGATAAAATATGCAGACTACCAACTCCAATAGAAGAATTAGGGAAAGATCAACCAAGATGACTGTATAACAAATCAGGTAAATTTTCTGTCAAATCTGTTTACTTGCTAGCACTTGATAATTCTCATTTGCAGGCAAACAAAGATTGGAGTAGAGCTTGGAAGTGGAAAGATCCCCAGAGAATCAAAACCTTCTTGTGGTTAGCGATACATGGTTGACTTCCAACCAATGAACTATGCTGGCAAAGGGGAGTTGACACGACAGCTGTGTGCTCCACATGCAGAATGGATGTGGAAACAACATTACATGCTATAAGAGACTACACTCGGGCGAGGATTGTCTGGAATTAGCTGGTACCTCTAGGTTGTGGATAGAAATTTTTCCAGCAAGAACTACGGGACTGGCGGAGAACCAACCTTGAGGATGTAGACCAGAATTGGTCGACTAAATTCGGGGTGGCTGTGCGGCTAATCTGGAACTAGAGAAACGATCGGGTCTTCAATGGAGAAAACATCATATTAGATAAATCCATCAAGATAGTCTTACAAAGAACAAGGGAGATCACAAGAAGCTTTTCCACGCTTAAATACCAGCAACTTGGGCGCACAAGAAGAGAAGAGATGGGTTGACAGAAACCACCTCTAATGTGGGTCAAAGCTAATTATGATGGCGTTGTCAACGAAACAGAGAACAAGGCTGCTGCAGAAGGTATTTTGAAAGGTGATAAGGGAGAATTCATTAAAGCCTTCAATATTAATTTAGGTAGTTGCTCCATAGAAACAGCGGAGCTGAAAGCAATACTCCTTTCAATGGAGATTGCAAAATCTCTAAGGATTCCTAAACTCATGGTGGAATCGGACTTACAAGTGGGGAGGTGTAATTCGTTCACACATACCGGAAGGGTAACTCTTGTGTTGATATGTTAGCCAAAGAGACACTCACTATAAATAGGGGGCTATTTTTTTTTATGTCGCCCCTAGTTGTATTTCGTTGTTGGTAGAGCAGGATTATAGATGCTTAAATATATGTACTAAGGCTATGTCGTCTGGCCATATTATTTACCAAAAAAAAAAATTCCACAAAGTTGAAAGGTAAGTAATGAATAACAACGTCCCATTTATGGTCACAGCTTCCAAATTTGGACCAAGTATTTCTCTTTTTATCAAGATATGCACATTGTATCTATTTCTTTCTTTTGTCTCAATACTCTATATAAATTACTTTTTTAGGATAAATAATTTTTTTTTTTACTTTTTCATTGCGGAAATGATTATCCATTATATAATTTATAATTTATAATGTAGACAATAGATAAGAGAGTACTTAATGCTTTATAACAATATTTTTAAATATATAAGTACAACATTAATCACGGAAACATTTGAGAAAAAAAGGAAAAGGTTTTGCACCATTGCCAAAAAACCCGAAATTTTTTAAAAGTAAATCGTCACTTTGAGTCTCTGGGAAGTCTCGTTCTCCTACTTCGCTTCATCATTGTCATTGTGATCGTCACCGGCGTAAATCCCGATTGTACCCTTCCAGACTTGTGCCGGAACCCCACGGCCTACCCCGCCGGCCGGCGCATTCTTACTTTTTCAGTGTGTCTCTGCATCCATAGTGTATGTTAAAGAGGAAAAGGGGATGGGTTTGTTTAGAAGAATAGCGGGTTTTTTAGGGATCGGTAAGGACGAAGCTGAAGAACTCAAAGGAAATGATGACGACAACGACGTCGTTCCACGGGCAGTTCCAGTTCCTAACATGCCCCGTAAAGGCTTCAGCGTCCCCGTTCAAGTTCCCGTTGACAGACCCGCATCCGGCCCCGTTCTCGTTCCCTGTCCTGCCGGCAATGGCGGCGTTCAGGTTAAGCTTTTGCCTTTCCTTATAGAAAGTAATCGAATTTTTTTGCCCTAAAGTTGCTAGCTTTTGTTAACCGTTTACCTATTTGAGTGAATGCTACACATTTATCGGTATTGTCATCTGCTTTAGAGCTTCTTATTTTTTAAGGATGAATTGATTACAAAATAATTTCCATTCTGTTTGTTTGTGCTTTGGGTTGAATTTGCCGTGACTTTGATCATTGGCATTGTCAAGTTAGTGCTTAGGGTGAAAGCATCTGTTTATTTGGCAATTAGAATGACAAATATATTTATACCTCTAGATTATTCTGTGTTCGACTTACTAATTTTTGACAAATTGAAAGATGTTAAACATTAAGCTGACTGTACTTAAATCGTAGTATATAAATACCTGAGAACTTGTGTACAAAATTTTTTCGCTGCAACTGTTTCTGATACAGTAATTGCTCCATAATAAGTACAAATGGAAAGATCTCTGGCGAAGCTATCTAATAACTAGTCTGATGGCCAGTTTTAGGACACTGCTTCATTGGAACTATGCATGATAAGCTGCCACTCCGTTACATATGTTACTGCTTTAAAGTAGCTTTTTTGATATGTTTGAAGTTAGAACTAGATTCTTAGAATGTCTTAGGAACAAATTTGACAGATGATTTTTTTTAAAACTTAGTTTTTCCATTAAAAATGATGTAATTGAGTAGCACAGTGCAGTATTCTGTACAGTCACCTATGTGAATATCACTTTTTGGTTGTGATTATCATAAGTTTACCTTTATATATATATAAAAAAAAAAGAATTTGCTTTGATAATGTAGAGGGAATTTTTGTGTTTCCCTGTTGTTTGTCGCATAACAAGTTCTCTACTGTTGACATTAGTTGTGTTACCCTTAATTTTCTCGATGGTACTGCTAAATCTTCTGTCGGTCGTATCTTTGAGCTAACGAGTCACTCGTACACTGATTGCTGATTGACTTCTGATATAGATAGCATTCATAATGAACTCTGCCTATATAGAAAGATAATGTTCTTTAAAACTTACGTCAAGAATTGTGCCTCTTTTTTAGGGATGTCCTTTGTATGTTGTTGTTCTTTCTTATTTATTTATTTATTTATTTTTGACAACTTTCTCTGTTTTGGGGAGTTCTGCGGGGTAGAGGTTGCAATTTACCTCGTCATTTTCTTTCGTTCATTTCTGACATATTTACTTTCCAGTCTCTACTTCATGAAATTTCCTTAAACTGTTTTTATATTTCGTGTTTTACATTCTATACTTTTCCGTCAAAAAAATTCATTTGGCCTTTGGAATCCATCTACATGAATCTGAATTGTTCAGATGGACATATAAGTTGCGGATTTATTGTTCATATGGACAAACAAATTGCACGTCTATAACAGCAATTTAGCAAAAGAAACTTTATATTAGCACCTCCTAACTTGCTAGATATGTAGGATTAATACCCAATCTGACGGAATTGCTTACACTATGTACGGTAAACTGGGGCTTGATGTTAAAATTGATTTTCAGGGTTATAGTTTTCCATTATTATGCTCTGTTCTTATTTCTACTGTTTAAGAGTTTTTGTTGATGCTCCCATATGTTTCTTCTGGCATAGAAGTGGGGTTAGCTTGCTGTATAGCTCAATTGAAATGATTTGTCTTAAGTCCGCTGATCTAATAGAACTTGAAAACCTCATCTTTTGCTCTTTTTCTTTCGGTTGAATATTTATGAAATGACTAAGCTGTGAAACATGTTTTTCAAGCACAAAGTGTACTGAAATTTCATGTTGAAAGAGAATAATTCTAGGAAGAATGATTCCATTGTTCCTTCCAGTTCTTGCATTTACTATATATGTTTTCCTAGTTTTGTCACACTTCATAAAATAGATCATGTAAGAAATCGTGCTAAGTTTTGGAAGCTTCTTAATTTATTCAGTTGTTTGTAGAACCCTTTAGCAACATCTTTGACAAGATTGCTGGATTCATATGAGGATTTGGATCTTATGCTAAATGTGGGGAAGTACTTGTACACAAATGGGGACGGTAATAAGGATAGAAGACTTAAAACATATAAAATTGGTTGTTGGACAGTCGAAATTTTGGTGGGTAAAACTCTATAGCTAGTAGATACTATGAAGAGGAGATGAAGGAAACAAAATGGATTGCTATGGTACTATTTATAATTTAACTTTCTTATTGTGGAAATTATAGTATTAGGAATGTTGTGGGTATCCTTTTGGGTTCATTATTCATAAACCAAATGATAGGGGTTGGCACTGGAGCTCTTATAAATATTATTGAAAATTAACCTAGGAGTATAGTTAATATTTATGCAACCCAAATAGAATTAGTTAAATGAAATTCAACATGTTGGAAGAGCTTCAAACTTTAGTCTATACCATTTCTCACAATGGAAAAACTATCATAGTATCATTATGACTTGTGATTCTGGGACATGAAACAATGATGGTGGCAGTACTTGATTCGTGGAGTTTGAAAGTCATTTAGGAGTTACATATTCATTAGTCGTGTATAAAAAGGAGAGAAAATATTGTATAAAAATAGATAGCATCTTTACATAATGCACGGAGAAAGTTTTTGATGGGGACAAGGAATGGTAGAAGAACCTTATCAGTAGGTTCTTCCATATTTATGCCCAGGATTATGATGATCCAAGGAAGTAGCCAAAGTGTTAGGACTTTGGTTCAGTTAATCCTTTATTAAGCAGTAATTTAATTAGTTTATTTCAGTATTAATATTTAGGAAAGGATATTTTAGTATATTAGTTATGCTGCAGGATTTTCTTGGAATAAAAAGGAAATTAGGTGAGATTCCTAGTTGTCTTTGGTTTAAGTTAAGTTTTAGGCCTATATATATGTACCTCGTTTGAGGGTTTTAGATAGTTATCAGATTAATAAAAATTCCTAGGAGCTTTTGCTTTCAACATCAGTTGTGTGACTCAACTAAACGCTTGGTGTGATGCCTAGAATTCCTGCAGTGTGACGCCAAAGGTCCCTAAGAGTGATTCTTAGGTTTTCTTCTCTTTTCCTACTGCTTATCTCTGTGTTCCTGCGATTCCTATCCTTATTCCCTACAGTTTTCTATTGATTTTCCGCTGCATAATACTCTTTAATCAGCCTAAGTTCTGATTTTCTTAACCACCACGTTTTGTCTTGCGTCAATTTGGCACCAGAGCCGAATTTCCTGGGGTCTTAATACTTTTCCTGATCAGATTGGAATTGATTTTCCTGATGAATTCTGTTTTCAAAAGGGTTTTGAGATCAACAGCTATGAATCCCCATAGCATAGGTTATCCTAATCTGCCTTGTAGTTCAAAAATCGTTGAGGAAGATGAGCAGGAGTACAATGATGATGAAGAGGAGATGGGCATGTTCGATACTGATGATTTAGAAGAGGAAGAAGACGAGGTTGATATGTCCTATCTTTCAATAATTTGGCGAATTTCTAGATGACCAAACCAAGGAGAGGAAGATTGGAAGAGGACAGAAATCTTTCAGACATTAGTTTATTGTGGGAAAGCTGTCAAGAAAGTGATTGTAGATGGCGGTAGTGGTGCGAATTTGGTTTCTGAATCCACTGTGGAAAGGCTGAATTTAAAAACAGACCCACATTCATACCCACATAAGGTTGGTTGGATTAATGGCACAACTATTCCTGTTACTAAGTGTTGCTTGGTAGACAGCAAAAGAGGTAGGTATGTTGATTTTATATGGTGTGATATTATTCCCATGAATGCTTCACATATAATCTTAGGAAGACCCTGGTTATATGATCGGGCAGTAGAGCATGATGGTAAAGCCAACACCTACTCCAACTTCAACAACATAAAAGTTGTTTTGAAGCCCCAAACTGATGAATATATGATGAAGCATTGCTCAACTAAGCCAAAAAGGGATCAAGTGATTCCTGAGGTTTCAGCTCTGAATCTTACTAAGGAGGAAAAAGTTTCTGGTCAGAATTTTACCGAAGCTGCAATTGAGTTTGTCAAGAATCAAGTAGAACAAAATAAGAAAATTCTTAGTTGTCCTACTGAAGATGCAAAACCTGGTCTTAATGTTACTGATTTTCATACAGAAAAACTTCCGAAACCCCCTGATATTTCAGGACTCACATAATTTCATTAGCATTGTTGAGGATGTGTGCAGGGAGGCTGTTCAGAATCAGAATTTGGTTGAGTGTGCAGAAACGTTCAAGGATGAACCTATTGTTCATTTAGTTCAAGATAGTAGCTCGCTGGTCCTTGCGGCTCAGGAGACTACAATGGAAGATTCAGAGGTTCAGAATGTAGAGGCATCTTTTGAAAATTCCAATGATGAACTTATTGATCATGTGGTTCAACAAGACAATAATCCTATGGTCTATGTGGTTCAGGAGTTTAGAAAGGAGGCTACAAACAAAGCTACAGCTGTTCAGGATTTTAAAGAGGATCGTAAAGGAGAAGCCATGAATGTATTGGTGGAAGAAGTAGTTCAAGAAGTTCAGCAAAGTAAGCTTACTGAGAGCGCTGATAAGCCTGAGATTTATCAACTTAATACGTTTGGTAATAATCCAAAAGAAGTACAACTTCTCAATCTTGGTGAGATTCAAGAGGAAGTAGCTAAAGGAGGAGCCCTACTGAGAAATATTTTGCATCCTAAACTGGAGGGAGGTTCTGGTACACGTGAGAAGTCAACTGAATTGATTCATGGAAACCTTTCTACAAGTCCGAATGAAAATTTTGTGAAGTTGAATCAAGTTTTAAAGACATGCCATTCAAAAGTTTATGATCCTGGAATTCTGAAAGTTGATTTCATTTTTGGAGAGGTTTATGACCACAAATCAGCAAGTACATTCCAAATGTCTACTCTTATACCTACATTTGGGCGAAGAAAGTTTTCTCATGCTGAATATGCGTCAATGCCATGGTTTATGTTTCAGATTGTCAGGTTCTTCATTCTTAGACATTTTAAAACTCGAGGACGAGTTTTTTCGAACCAGGGGAGAATGATGGGGACAAGGAATGGTAGAAGAACCCTATCAGTAGGTTCTTCCATATTTATGCCCAGGATTATCATGATCCAAGGAAAGAGCCAAAGTGTTAGGATTTTGGTTCAGTTAATCCTTTATTAAGCAGTAATTTAATTAGTTTATTTCAGTATTAATTTTTAGGAAAGGATATTTTAGTATATTAGTTATGCTGCAGGATTTTCTTGGAATAAAAAAGAAATTAGGTGAGATTTCTAGTTGTCTTTGGTTTAGATTAAGTTTTAGGCCTATATATATATATATATATATATATATATATATCTCGTTTGAGGGTTTTAGACAGTTATCAGATTAATAAAAATTCCTAGGAGCTTTTGCTTTCAACATCAGTTGTGTGACTCAACTAAACCCTTGGTGTGATGCCTAGGATTCCTGCGGTGTGACGCCAAAGGGCCCTAAGAGTGATTCTTAGGTTTTCTTCTTTTTTCCTACTGTTTTATCTCTGTGTTCCTGCGATTTCTACCCTTATTTTCTACAGTTTTCTATTGATTTTCTGCTACATAATACTCTTTAATCAGCCTAAGTTCTGATTTTCTTAACCATCACGTTTTGTCCTGCAGTCAGTTATAAAAGTATGAATGAGGTCTTAGATTTTGATGTCTGAGTATCAGCAGGTTAGCTAGCATAGACAGGATTATGCAGTGAGTGAAGAGTCCCAACAAAATAGATTTGCGCCAACACCCACCCAATGCCAAAGAAGAAACAGAAAGCACTTGCAAATGCCAGTAACCAAATGATGAATATTTGCGAAAATTGCTAACTTGAATTAAAATTGTGCCAGATTTAGGATTGAATTTACTTTTCCAGAAAATTCGAAATTGATAAAAACATTTTATGTGCGATGTATGTTACTTGAAACCAGTGGAGTAGCATGTTCTTTATACTGTAGAGCACTGAAATGTGAAGGAAAGTTTATAGAACAGCCACATAACAATAATGCTTTGTAGGTTAGAGTATTGGGTGACTGAATATGAATATGCACAATAACAGTGGTAGCAGGAATACGATGTTAAAATAATATGTCGATACTAGGAATAAGATAAGAATTAATAAAACAAAAAAGTGGGATAGGCCCGCTAGATCAGAAATGAGAAAAGCACCATTAAGTATTTTCTAAATGCATAATGAGACATTCAGATGCTCATATAGGGCAGATAGAAACAAATTATCATTTATTATGGCCAAAGTAGAAATGGGAAGACCCAAAAGGAACAGGAAAGGACTTTTCTGAAAGGACAGAATTTGTTTGAACTTAAATGAGAACTTGTGTTTTAACTGAACGTGGTAGAGGTATATTATCCATTGAATGTGATTTTAGCATGGTTGCTGTTACTGTTATATGTAGCTCCTTTGAGTAAGAATTCTATGAATGTAGTTGCTACATGTTTTCTTTAGGGTGGTACCTGATTTGCTATGTGATACCAGATTGTTATCTGAATATATGGATGTGAGAATCTAGATATTCTAGAGTGTTCAATCAACTTGATGTGAAGTCCAAAATAATGCACATTTCTGTGCTGATTGGGATGGCAACCAGCAGATATCACGCTAAAATATGCGTTCTTGTTTTGCTTGGTCCTTTTTATCACTTTTTGAATAGTTTGTGTTTCTGGTGATTCAGGGATTGAGATGGTATGCCAAGCGACTTTGTATAGATGAAGATGGTGATGTTGCCGATGAGTTCATTTGTGAAGCCCCACCCAATAAAATTATGCGCGCTGAAGATCATCTTGAGCCACTGCCAAGATTCGAAGTAAAGTGCAATACCAGACCCGTTAAAATGTGTAACCTAGTACGCTCTGAAAATGGCAAAATCCAGATGTCTGTGGAATCCCAAGGTAGACTGGAATGGTTGTAAGGAATTTGGAAGTATGTAATATGTGTTTTTCGATTGTCCTTTTCATCAACTTTAGTCCATGCATAAAGCTTGTAGTTATATATCACCTTGCTGAAAGTGATTTTCAATCGAATCCTCCATTAAACGCTCTGAAAAACCCATCCCTTTAGAACTTTGAAACATCGAATCATAGATATTATTTGTTGTCCTGGAAAGTTTTTGGCATCTTAGTTTCAAAGGTCGAATGAAGGAAAATATTTGGTTAGGGAGGGAGCCGAAAACATATCGTTGCTATTCAAAGTTTTGCCCTCGTCGTCAATCATACCTAATAGATTTTCGGTTAGCCAACTTTGCCCTAATGTTTGAAATTTTCGTCAATTTTGTTCAATCAACCCATTTTTCGTCCAAATTAACGGATCTCCATTAGTTTTTTTTAATAAAATAATATATTTAAATAAAAAATACTCCAGTAGTTTTTAAAAATTTTAAAAATAACCCTAAAATATATAAGAATAACAAAATAATCCTTTTTTACATTTTTATTTTATTTTTCTCTATTTTGTTCCATTTCTCTTAACTACTTTTAATGACCATAAAAGTATATGATATGAGTTTTTTAAAAAATATTTATTTATTTTCAAACTCTATCGTAAAAATTAATGTTTTTATAGTTGTAACACATGATTGTATTTATATAAGCATATTAATATTTTTAATGATATAAAAAAATAGTGTCTTTATTGCTAAACTATATTATTAAAAAGATTAACATGCTTATATAAATACAATCGTGTTAAAACTATACAAAGATTAATTTTACGGTAGAGTTTGAAAATAATAATTTTTTTAAAACTCATATAATATACTTTTATGGTCATTAAAAGTAGTTAAGAGAAATGGAACAAGATAGAGAAAAATAAAACAAAAAAGTAAAAAAAGGACTGTTTTGTTATTTTTATATATTTTAGGAGTTATTTTTAAAATTTTTAAAAACTGCTGGAGTATTTTTGTATTTAAATTTATTATTTTATTAATAAACTAACGGAGATTCGTTAATTTGGACGAAAAATGAGCCGATTGGACAAAATTAGCGAAAATTTCAAAGATTAAGGTAAAGTTGACTAACCGAAAATCTATTGAGTATGATTGACAACGAAGGCAATGCTTTGGGTATGAACGACATTTTTTGCTAGAGCTTTTACCATCTGAAGCGCTGCTTGGTTTGGTTTGATCAACGGGCCTCTATTTGGAGTGTACCACAATGTTTTGTTTATTAGATGTTACTGTATATGGTATAATTATCATCATTTTAAAAGTTTTGTATGAACAATGTAGACAAATTTTCGGATACTAATGTCAATACTGCTGGTTGATCTGACTCCGGCTTAATTTGGCGGTGTTCCATTGGTGGTGGTGGTGATGGTGACGGAACAAGTGATGACTGATTGTTGAAGAAAATAGGTGGTGTGTTAAAGTAGGTGGTAAATACAACTAATACTCTGTGAATGAGATAAAGTATCTCATTTTACGGAAAAATTGGTCGATATATCCAAAACTTTACATGCGTTATCAATTCTACCATATTTTTTTTAGGTTATCCAATATCACCCTAAACTATCAAACTGTTAGCCGGTTTTGTTCAATTTGCCAATTTCTATTTAAATTAACGGAATTCTGTTAGTTTTAATCACAAAAAATATCCTAATAGTTTTAAAAATTATAAAATGACCCAAAAAATTTACAAAAGTTACAAAACAGTCTCTTTTCAGTTTTTATTTAATTTTTACTATTTTTTTAACTATAAAAATATACTATATGATCATTTAAAAAAATTATTTATTTTTAAACTCTAGTATATGGATTTATAATTACATATTTGTAAGTCATATTTGATTTACATAAACATATTAATTTTTCATTAATATGATTTAATAGTAATGATATTATTTTTTTAATCTATTTTTTTCAATCTAAAAAATAAGATTATTTAACTAAAGATAATTTTGCACAAAAAAATAAAACATTTATCATAGATTAAAAAAGAATTTATTCGTATACTTTAATGTATTACAATTTAATTCAAAAGACTTTAGATTGTATTATAAATTAAAAAAATAAAACTAATATAAAATTTTCTTTAAAAAGCCATGTACGAATATAAAGTGGAAAAAAAAAACCTGTTTCATTTCTACATTGACCCAACACAAGAATATAGTGTCGTGACATTTACAAAAATGGTACAAAATATTTTATAAAAGAATATGTATATTATCATTGCGAGAGTTTAACATTTTGTGATAATTTTTTGAGATATTAATATATCTAACTTTAGCAGGAAGTCTTTTTTTTTTTTAAAAAAAAAAGAAAATTTACTCCAGTACTGGACTCTACCTTATTTTAAAAAATAAAATTATATTGCCCCAGTGAGACCTCGAAGACAGTAATAATCATCTCACATCTTAAATCACCTGACTATCCAACTCAACCCTCTTACCTTTAACAGACCTCACTTAAATGTAGATAGAATCACTCTCTCGCTTAGAAATTTTCTGGTGAGAATTAATCTTATATTTACTCTCATGAAACTGAACAACCCTAAACACTAGACTGTACCATATATTTTAGTTTAATTATTTTTTTAGTTGTATAATATAATCTATAGTCTGTTTAGTTCATTTGTAACAAATTAAAATATACTAATAAATCATTTTTTAACCTGTGCTAAATGTTTTTATGTTTTGTAAAAAATTAGTTTTAGTAAAAAAAAAATCTTATTCTTTAAATTGAAAAAAATGGATTAAAAATAATACTATTATTGTCTTGTCGAGCCATATTGTTAAAAAAATTAATAAGTTTATGTAACTCAACTACGAGTTACAAATATGTATATCTATAAATTTGTACAGTATTGTTTAAAAATAAACTATTTTTTTAAAATCATATAGTATATTTTTATTGTTATGAAAACTAGTAAAAAGAAATAAAAAATAGAAAAAATTAAATAAAAACTGAAAGAGACTGTTTTTAGGATCATTTTTATAATTTTTAAAACTATTATGGCATTTTTTTATAATTAAAACTAACAGAATTTCGTTAATTTAAACGAAAATTGGCAAATTGGACAAAATCGGCTAACGATTTTATAGTTTAAGGTAATATTGACTAACCAAAAAAAAATAAAAGTAGAATTAACAACGCATGTAAAGATTTGGTTAGATCGGCCAAATTTTCCCTCAACCTGCACCAAAAACTAGTACACAAATTTTGGACGTCAATTATGTTATTCTGGAACACAAGGGAGGAGCATTTTCATTCATTGTTTATTTATTTATTTAGTATTTTGGTATATAGAAAGAGACTAATTCATTCAAGTTCTATCTTATCATAAGCGAAAGGATTAATCAATGTTATCGACGGTAAACACTCTATAACATATAAGAAAAAACAAACCCAAATTTCAAGATAGAGTTATTTACTGATCATCATCATTCAAATCACTTTAAAATTTAAAGAAAAATGAAATAATCATTTTGGGAGGTGAGAAACTATTGGATGGATTTTAAAAAATTCAAAAAGCAGGAAGATTTTGACAATTAATCACCCCAACTTTTTTACATTAGAGGTCCCACAAAATTATTATGAGTTCTGAATAATTTTGTCTCCAGCTTACAAAAAATGAATTATCGCCACGTGAATTTAATTGTTTTTGTTAAAACTGGGATATGACCAGGAAAAATCGGCGCCATTATAGTTATCTTATCACTATGGAAATCCTCCACTGTCACGTCTCCTGTTCTTTCTCCGCCCTTAAACACCCATTTCCCCGGCGTCACAATTCTCCGGTGAGGTTCCCCGTTAACACCACCAGGTTTCCCAGAAGACCGACGTCGGAGCTTCAAACTTCGGTTTCAGTACCCGCCGAAAATGGCACTGCTTTTTCCCCTTCTCCCTCAGTCCCGTCTCATAAAGTCACGGTTCACGACCGCCAGCGTGACGTTGTCCACGAATTCTTTGTGCCCGAAGTAAATCCTTTCTCTTTCTAGATTAACTTTCTCAGAATCTTTTTGTTTTGTTGAGGTTTTATAGTTAATTCATTGATTTGATTATTTGAATTATGGGGCAGGATCAATACATTTTGCATACGGCAGAGGCACAGAACATAACTCTCCCATTTGCTTGCAGGCACGGTACTGATTACTCATCTCACTGGTAAAAAGGATTGTTGTTTTATCTTATTTTTGGGATTCTTCGAAAGGTTATGGACTTTGCATGGAGCTCAGTGGATTTAATTGCTTAGTTGTTGTTGGTTTGAAGATCTTTGTCTGTCGAAGGAGTTTTGTGGGTATAATAACTTGTGAAATTAGAAACACTTTTGGGTTCTTGAAATGATTTCTTTTTGGGAATATAAGGTTCATAGGATTGCGGAGAATGACTTGATGGCTATTCTTTTTTATCGGTTTGATAGCCAATTTGATGGCATTATGATTGTGAAATGCTTCTGATCAATCTCTTCGCTACCTGTTAGTATATTGTTCTTTATTCATGCTTGGGCAAATATCTGCTTTTTCTCCTTCACGGCAGTAGATGTCTGTTATAAATTGATGACAGAGTCCCACTATAATATTTTGCCACCTTGCTGATGGATTGAAACACGTATTTATCCCACTATAACAGTTTCTTTGAGATCTTGTTAGGTCTATTTTTTAAGATGCAATTCAGGCTTCTTATCTGTCTCTTTGATGAATTCTAGTTTGCCGAGAATGAGATGAGGCATAATACCCTTGTGTTGATTGCCTGAATGATGGTATCATAGATGAGATGATGCATATGTTGTATTGAGTGCCGATGTGATGGCATCATTATATTTGGTGAATTCTGGCTGATCATCTAAGTGTATGCAGCAATCAACCTTGAGCTACTATATCCCATGTCTGATTGTTAGCTCTACGGCCAATCCTTGAGCAATGGGCTATTTTTTCCTTTTTCTTTTTACCCTATTGGCCATAATGTGCCTATAAACCTTGAGTCGGTGCTCTCTGTTTTCTCCACTCTATGAGTGCAACTAATACTCTTCAATGCTTATGCCCAAATCGCATTTGTTTCAACAGAATATTGCTCTAGAGAGTTATCCGTATCTGTTTCCTTATGCATACTGACAGTGAGATGATGCATACAGTTCTATTGATAGCCAAAATGATGGCTCATTATATTGTGTGAATTCTGGCTGAATCATTGTCTATGCGACAAGGTTATAGCTTCTTAGCGCCGATACCAATACTGGACACGGTTTGAATATTGTGTAGTTATAACATTCGGCATTTAAAATGATTATTTTGCTGCTTCATGTGGTAATAAAAATTCATCTTTTGGATGTTACAGGTTGCAGCAACTTTGTTCTATTATTTATTCTTTTACTGAATCCGTTGTTCATGCGGAGATTATATGGTCACCATTTGACATTTCATAAGTTCAAGGAAGTGGATTTTGTTTGATGGACTTCCTTCAATTATTTTCTCCATTCTGTTATTCTGGGTAGAATATCTTGAATTGCAGTTGTGAAATTCGTAACAATTGTTTTATAATTACTGAAGGGTCTTTAACCAAGTTTAGTGTTCCGCACTCATGCATATAATTTAGTTACTGGTGGATGAGAAGATAATTTTTTCATTAACAGTGTTAGCAGCATTGTGATTTGGTCACCTTTTGCATTAACATCCTTATAGAAATATTGTCCTCCCTGCTTCCATTGTGTTTGGCCTTTTTCAATTATTAGTAAAAATGAAACGGTTTAGGTATGCGAGGTAGTCCTTTTTTTGTTGGTTTCAGATGTGTTGTTTGTTATGGATTTCATACTTGTCATAGTTTAAGATAACTTTATGATATACAGTTTCAACTGGCTTCTGACATCTGCTTCTTTTTGTGGTTATCCAAAAAAACCATTGTCTGGCAGGTTGTTGCACTAGCTGTGCTGTTAGAGTAAAATCCGGCCAACTCAGACAGCCAGAGGCATTAGGAATATCAGCAGAGTTGAGATCACAGGTTTGATATCTATTTCTTTGCACTGTCCAAACTATTGCTGCTTCATTTTTGTTTCTTTCAATGTATAAGGTGTAATCTGTTTATGGTTAGTATGTAGCTTTGAAATTTCGTTTGATAGCTAATCACCCAGAAATAAACAGAAATAAATAAAAAACAGTTCCCTATAACTCCATATTCATCAAGCGACATCCTCATCTTTGGATGTAGTGAAAATGCTTATGGAGATGTAAAGTTTTTTATGGTTTATTAGAATCACGCTTCAACTGTTATTTAATATTTCTCTGCTTAGTGCTGTTCATTCCATGAAGTTTGTTCGGTGTTCCGATATAAAGGTGAAAGAAGAGAAAGCGATGCTTGATGAGAATTCTCTTTCAGTTTCTATTCTCAAGTATAGGGATAGAGCTCTTTTATTCGTTGGATACCAAACTGAGTGGATATGAAATTGAAGAATGCATTCTTTCACTGTTTCCCTTGTCAGCTGGATGCAAAAATCATTAGTACTTAATTGTTTGATGCAGGGTTATGCACTTCTTTGTGTTGGTTACCCATCTTCTGACCTCGAAGTTGAAACACAAGACGAAGATGAGGTAACTTGAACTGAACTTTCTCATTGTAGACTGCCTCTATTTTCTCTTCTTGTGCCAGTTGGAAATTGTTGTTTTACTTTGTGTGCAGGTATATTGGCTGCAATTTGGTAGATATTTTGCCCGAGGACCTGTCGTAAGTTTTTCTATTTCACTTCCTTTGCTGAAACTTTCGGAGCTTTTTTGAAGTGGGATGGAGATTAGTAAATTCTAATTACCCGAGTTATTTGCTTACTGCAGGAAAGGGATGATTATGCTTTGGAATTAGCCATGGGAGATGAGTAAACTAGTGTTAACAGTCCATTATGATCTATCTCAATTTTTGGTATATATCTCTCTGTATGTCATTGTTTTCGGTTGACCTTTGAGACACAGTGTAATAGTCCTCTTGAATATCTGATTAGAAATTGTAACTTTGTCCTCCAAATCAGGAGAGTCAAGTTTTTCAAATAGTTCTTTACCTTACTGTCTGGATTTAGTTTTATCACCTTAAAAGAAAGAAAACCTGCCACACAGTTTATATTAAGGGGCCATAAAGATAGTTGTACACTTGAATGAATCTTTTAAAAAAATTCTGTGTCCAAAGGTGTTATTCACCTTAAGTTAGTTGATCTGATTGCCAGTGAAGGCAAAACGAAAAATTGTTCTGGAGAGGAAACTTAAAAAGTGTAATGGCGAATATATTTCACCACTAAGGGACTGATATGTTACATACCAAAAATGACCAAAGGAAGACATCATTTCGGCAGTAGAACAATCTATTCTTGTATGAATTCACCTCCCTATCTCCATCATTATTTATCAGCTAAAAAGGTCAAGGGTAAAGCTTGATCTCGAACTTCTCGTACGAGTAAGAAAGGAGAACCAATAGCATCTTTTCAAAGTTAGGAAACCATAATATCCCCAACAGGTAACATCAAGCGTTTGGGAGGAACAAGAAAGTCAGTTTGGGGGCCAATAAGTTTCGGACGAGGACTGGTGATGAAGGTTCAATCCCAAAACAAACGCTGATTTGAGCCTACATCGTACTATATTAGATAATGTTTTTTCATAGCGTACTGTCTTGGTTAGGTTCACAAAAAAAACCTTTCGAGTTGGAAACATCTTCAATCCCTTTCATATTACCGCTTTCAACAATAAATTTGGCCCCCCATTGTTCTGTCCTAGGATTGGAACTCCCGGTTTTAACTTAAAGTATCGTTTCACATTGGATGAAATGCTTAGTTCAATCTTCCAAAAAGACACAATTGATACACAGAAATTGGAATCCTGTAACTTACGAGAAGCGAATAAAATACACCAGTAACTTAAAAAGGATTTTCAGTAACTCCATTGTTACAGCATAAGCTCAAAACATTGTTTCACATACATGAATTCGAATAGTTTAACTAACGGGGGCGTGATTGACACACTAGAAGGTAAAACATCTCATCTCCATTGTTACATGATCTACACTTTATTACCACATAATCAAAGTTTCAGCTCAAAGCATCGTTCCAAATTGGAAATGCTTCGTTCATCCTATCAATATGACACAATTGATGCGCGGAAATGGAGATCGTTTCACTTATGAGACATGATTGATGCACGGACGTTAAGAAAAAAAATGATCTTATCTCCATTGCTAACACGATTTGCGACTAATCATCTATAAGCCACTTTTTTCATGAGGATAAGCTCAATGAGGAAAGCCGATTTTTTTGCACAATAAATGTGAAGCATTCAACAATATCAGCATCAGTTTGACAAACTTCAAATCAGTACGCATGGGAAACAACCTGATGCCGTGTAACTGATGCAAAACTACAATACCGATCCACTAAGAAAGTGATGTTTTCCTTATCCAGCCTTCTTTTTGATTCCCTTAATCACCACAAATCTTGAAACATAGTATTTCTAGTTATGCCAAACTCCTTTATTCAATACGTTAATCACGCCAGGCGAAAGAGAACTCTATACAATGTAGTACAACTACTAATAGAAGTAGGAATAAGGATCCTCCTCTGCTTCTAGTAAATTTTGGTAGCACTTCAAAAAGGGCTATAGGATATAATGTGGTACCGGAAGAAGGCGAAGTTTTTCGCACTTTAGCTGGTGAACTTTTGCTCAACAGGGCTGGCTGAAGCCTGTCATGAAACCCAAAAATTGTGTGTCAAGACAGAAAGTTGAAAGTGAAAGAATTGCTTGTTTAGATGACAACAACAAAAGTTATATATTGACAGGAGGGGAAAAAAGGCATATTCCGCAAAGATAGTAGCTAGCTAGTTGTTGCTTTGTCATTTCAGAACGCTGAAATCAAAGAGATAATTTTGAGTCCCTACTCCAGTTTTGGGTGGTTATATATCTAGACAATGAAAACACAAGTAAGAGTGCAAAGAAGTGGAAACTGAATAAAAAGAATAACAAGCACATGGAGGGGACAGATTGATAGAATCAACCACATACTCTAAATTGAAAGTACCACAAAAATAAACACCGAAATGATTCATCTGCATCCGTCCCACAAAAATAGTTTACTTTTTCGTGTGCAGTTTCAACAAAGTAGACTATTTTTTTTTTCCAGAGTATAGGAAAACTGATGAACTGAGATATGTAACTGACCCCAATTGAAGTCACGAAATTGCAGACGGCACATTTTACAGATCGAGCTCCGTATTGATACATTAACAGCATCCGGCAGTTCCCACAATTCACATGTGCTACTTGATTTGCTGCCATTAAAAGTACAAAAATCTTCAAATTCCAGTCCAAGAAACCATGACTTTTGTTGAATGAAAAACTTACAACACAACAGTAAATTTTGCTTCTTTAATTTTACCTTCCATCGCTAAATTAACGGTGTGACAACAAGAACATTGCACGCTCGTCGCGCCTCGTATGTACATTAGTAAAGTATGGCAACCCCCACAAACCAGCTGAGCCATTTCTGTACCTACACATATGGGAAAAAAGTAGAGTAAAATTTAGCCCTACTAGAAATCTTTGAATTTCCCTCCGTCCCAGAAAAATAGTCTGCTTTGTCGAACTAAAACAGTACAATAAATTGAACTTTTTTTTTTTGGGCGAAGGAAGAGTAGTTAGGAAGTTCAATTATACCAGGAGGTGGCACAGCTGTGACTGCATTGCATACCGCACAGCAAACAGAAGAAGCTCCTACTGGATACAGTAAAAGGTTTCGACAACCGGAACAAACAAGCTGGCTTTGTGCACCTGTTAAAACCCATCAAACGAACTAAAATGCATCAGAGATGAATCAAACAAAAAAAAACAAAAAAACAAAAACAAGAAACAGAGAAACTCTGCTTCTGGGGAAGTCCTTTACACTGAATCACATGTTTCCAAAGTTAGGAAAATTGCTGCTCCTGAATCCTGATCTAAGCAGTCATCATGGATCTAATGTTGAAGAATTTTATCTCTGCTTATTTACAACTTGCATCAAAGACACACAAAACTTTGCACCTTCTTATCTAAAATGAATTAAACTATGCGCAGAAAACAGAGCACACAGATGACACAATCCAAGTATTTTTGCAGAGGAGGAATATCTTTTGACCATACCGTTTCCAGCAGGCGGTGGTGGTGTAAACGGTACCGGAGGGGTTGGATATGGAGCTAAAGGGACTGGCATTGCTAAAACCTGGAAAAAGGGATTCCTTTTCTTCCAAAAACTCAGTTCTTTTTACAGCTTCCGAGGCATCATGAAGACATCAAGCAGTTGTCCTTATCAGTCATCATCCCCTGCAAAAAGAAATTACATAAAAAAAAGTACACTCATATCTTTACGTGTTTTGAGACAGAACCAAAAAAGTCCTTGGTTATGAACGGAGAAATGCATTATTCTTGAAGAAACGACATATTCATTGCAGCCCAGATGGATTATGAAGCTAAAAAAGAAAAAGAATCAATGTGTGTTGAAGAAAAAGCAGAGGAATTGACTAATACTAGTGGTTTTCACAAACCTTCATCTCTCTGCATTTCAGTTGAAGAACATTAGAGAGAGTGAGGAAAGCACAAGACTAGGGAAGATGGGAGATGATGAAGAGGGAAGAGACAAAGGAGAAAGTGATTGAGAGGAAGCAGACGATTTGGAATGAATAAAAAGTTTGATGGTTTTGGAAATTTTGTCACATAGACAAGTGTTCATAATAATCACTCATTATATACCAATGAAATTTCCTTTGCTGTAATAGTTCTGCCGTACACAAACAAAATTAATTAAATCAGAATAAATGAGACTCGCAACGTTTTTTTGCTGCCTCCAAAAAAGGGTTTCAATTTTAACCAATTTTTTTTTTTTTCTTTTTGGCATAATAAAAGAGGATCAAATCCAAAAATTTAAGTTATGGTATTACGGAAATAAGTTAATTTTATTTCATTATGTTGAAATTATGACTTAACACCGAGACAGATTAATAAACAATCTTACTTAGCGATATCAGTTGTAAACAAACAAGAATATAATATTCTTATCGATGTTACAATCATTTATTCTTATGCTTGCTTTTAAGAAGTCTTTAATTAGTATTTAGCTTATAACATCTCTACTTACACCAGCGGCGGAGTTATGGGAGACGGAGGGGTGCAGTCGAACCTGCTTAATTTTTGTAATTAGTTGAGATATTTTTAAATTTTTAATAGAAAATTATGTACTGTATTATATAATTTTTCGCACCTCCTAAATTGATTTATTGGTTCATTAGTAGTGTTTTTTTTTTTTTTTAATTTTGCACCTCCTACATTGATTTTTTGCCTCCACCAAGATTCATACAAAATTTATCTTCCAATTGAAATTTTGTCTACTCAGAGGTTAGTGATGATATGGATGCATAAACTCTTTCAAAAGATTAGAAACTGTGAATTACTTGGAAGGGAAATGTATAGAATTGAAAAGGCTGCAAGCAGTCGAGTCAAAAATATACAGTATGAATGGTTTTGGATGATCTTTAATTTTCCACGTTAATGTTGTGCGATTTATATCTGAAAAGATTCAACGAAGCTATCAATTATCTTCCCGATTTGGTAGTATTAGTATTTGTGGATAAAATTTTGATCATTTCCATTTCTGTTGGTGGCATATATGAAGATCAGCTTTTGCATGCCTGGTTCCCTCCCTTTGTCTTTCAGATGTGTCGCGTCATGAATTTTTTTACCGTATTTTTAACAACAGTGCGTGCACGTGAGGTAACATTAATTTTCAAAATTATTATTGAAACAAAACCCTATACCACAAAATGAATTATCAAAATAAGACAGAAAATATGTAAGTGTATACCAAGGACTACAGAAAATAGTCATAATTTAATGGTGAGTAATGAAATTGCTCTTTATTTTTAGACGATTTTGTGTTCTACTCCCTGTTTCAATACGAAAGGCGATTACAACTAGGATGAATTCATACAACTAGGATGGTTTGAGTGATTGTTCAACAAAAAGAAGAAATCGATTTTTAACTAAATATGCTAACTAATTCACTGCTGTTTTGTAATTATTACTCCCTCTGTCCCAAAATTATTGTCCAGTTTGAGATTTCACTTTTAGTACAATTTGAACTAAAAATAAAAACTCAAACTGGACAATAATTATGGGACGGAGAGAGTAATTAATTACGTAAGTACATTTTCAACTAAAGAAGTACATTTTCAAGTAGATTTTCGACTAAAGGTTTCACAAATTGAATTTAATGTCTAACTTCTGTATTCTTCCCTGTGTAAATGACAGACACACACACACACACTATGTGAATTTAACTCACAGTTTCGAATTCTTTTTTTATGTTAGTAGAAAATAAACTGTAAAAAGTATAGAGGATTCCAAAACGCTTGCATTGCACTCTAAGTGGCATAGAATATTTTGTCCTTAATAATAGCCCTATTTTTATTCTTCCTCATCTTCATCATTTTTATCACCAACTTTCCCAGGCTGGTAATGCAATTTCAAAAGTAAACAGACTTTTGTTCACTGTGGTCCATTTATGCTGGACCTCAAGGTATTTATTCTTCTGGGTAAAAACTCCGAAAATTCATTGCAAATTTTATTCATAGGCCACATTGCGAAGTTGCTAAGTGAACTTCCATGCACACCTTGCAAAATCTTTCAAGGTTGACCTGAGTAATATTATAAGAAGTAGACGCTTTTGGATGTAAATTATCACTTAGATGAATATCAAGAAACGAAACTTCCCCTTTGTTTTAGTTATTCAATTTTGAAAACTAAATTCTACGTATCAAACCGTTTTATTTAGGAATCCAACTATTATAAAGATCATAAGATCACACAAGTTGCAGTTTAAGTTATTTTAGTTATAGAAATAAGACTACTGAAATGAGACGGAAAATACATGAAGTGTACGGATTTCGATCACTTTCTATATCCGGATAATAAGAAACGGAAACTCAATTGTAAAACAAAGAGATTCCACTAATAGCCTGGCATAAAACTCTTAAGTAATCAACTAGAGTGCATTTGAATTGGGTAATCTAATTCAAGATCAAGCAAATTGATTCAACAATTACATTTGTTTTTTCCCAAATTGAGTTGAGCAATAGAGATGATTATTTTCTTCTTTTTTTTTTCCCTCTCAACTCTCAAGTCACAAGTCACACCACCGGCACATGCTGCCTGGTGGGGGCTTCATCTCGCGGCATCCAAAAGCTACATGCTCCCACTAGCTAGTACTTGCTTTAGAGGACGACAACCATATTTCACTTTCTTCAATTTGACTGCATATCTTACATCACTATGAGGCCACCCCACGCATGATTTCTCATGGCATCATTCTCTCAATTTGTGCTATTTGATGATTGTAATTGTATGTTGTATGTATAATGTACTTGTATGTATTAATTCATAAATACGACAAGATACGAATATACATACAATGAGGTCTTCTATATCTAATTTCAATAATAACATTATATACGTCTGTTCTAGAATTCAAAAGTTCAAACCTAGCTCTCGTCAAGCGTGGAAATATCGCATTTCATTTTCTTTCTCTGAAATGCATGATAGTATATACCAAGGCCACTTGCATTATCTTTAGGTAGTAACAGCGCCATCAACATCATAATGGTTGCATTATATATGTATAATCAATATAAGCCAAAGAGTATAGCCCCTCATATAAAGTACGGTCTAACTCTCTCAGCCTATACTCAATGATTTGATAGCTAGCCTTGGTTACATGCCAATAATTTTTGTAATTAATGATATCTGAACTCTCAACTTTTGAGATAATCTTAAGTATCATCACCGTAAATCGTATCACTTTCAGTTATCGATGTAAAAAAGTTATAAAGGTTGAAACTACAATAATATATTATAATTATTCCCTCTCCTTTCTTCCATATATAGGGTAGTCTCTTGTTCTTCTGCCTTGCTTACAAAGTATAAAATACAAACTTTAAAGCTCTTGCAACTTGAAAAATTCGCACATATTCATTCAATTAACATGAAATCGGAAATAAAGAAGAAGATAATTAATAGATCTTTTTATATATCCTATCAACATTGATAGAATCTAGATGAAAGAGATGTCCATTTCATCGAATCTAGACAGACGGGGAAATTTCAGAAAGCTTTATTATGAATACCATTATTTCTTTATATAGTTTGGAAGAACATAAAAAAGACAACGTGTGACTAAATTTCCTCCAACAATGTCCACGTACATAAAAAAATGGTTAAAATTTCGTGAACCACAAGTTCTCTTCCAATCATGGGATGCATTTGGTCTTCCCAATTTTGAATCTTTTAAGTTTCATGCAAACAATAATAAATTAAAATTATCTATCTTACATGCAAAGACAATTTATGACCATCTTCTAACTGCAAAATAGCCCACAAATAGAAGGAGTGTATCACTATTTGAAGACAAGATAGACGACACTAATAAAGAAGTTGAGAAGAGAAAAAGAACTTTAAAAAAAAAAATCGTTCATAAATGCACCAAGATTTATATATAATCGAAGAAATGGATAAGGGATCCAATTGTTAATTATATATCTTGGGATTTATCATAAGGACATCATCCTATGACTTATACAATACCTATAAAATTAAGGTATGGAAAATTTGGATAAAGGCAGTGGGGGTGAAATAATTAATAAAGAGGGCTCTACTTTTGAATAATATGTATTAGGGGCATAACAATTAATTAACCATAGAAATATGACTTTGCATATTAAGAAACTTATTAATATCAATTTAATTACTTTTGAAGTTTATTAATTTATTTTTTTGTAAGTTTGGTTAGTACGAAAATACTGAAGTAATTGATTAAATAAAATTAAACATAATAAATTTTTATTTTATAAATTTTAAAAAATTTTCTATTATAAAATACACGATATTAATTTTTTTAAAGAAATAATTTTAATTTAAGTGCTATAAAATATCTTGTATGGCTCATTTAAATATAAGATTTTGGAAAAAGAATTTAGACAATTTTGATTCATGTGAAAGCAAAAAATTATTTACTTTAATAAAATTAACATTATATGGAAAAAATAATGCCACTTAATAAAAAATTAAGAAATATAAATGTTTATTTTTAAGTTCAACATATTTATGTTATGTTCATATTACTATTGAAATATTGTCATTTATACACTTAGGAAACATAATTTAATTTATGTGTTAAAATCAAATGAAAGGAAAAAAAAAAGATTTGATTTCAAGAGTTCATGTTTGCATTGTTGCATAATTATGCCCTTAATACAAATTATCCAACAGTGTAGCCCTCTTTGTTAAGTACTTTTTATCTATTGCCCTTAATCCAAATTTTCTCATTAAGGTACTATGGTTATATAATTCTTAGACATTAAATTGGGGGTTAAGACAGACATATGATCTTCTATTACATTTTGAGTGACATTATCTATGACACTGGTTAAATGATTGATACGTGTTTAAATAACTAATTATTAATACTCTAATCAAATGGTAAAGAAACCATGTTTGACAGGTGATTAAATACGTGGCGATATTTTAATTAATGTCACAAGGAATGTAACACAAAAATGTTACAGAAGATCTTTTGCCCTTCAGATTCAGAACCTAAAAACTTGATATCTAATTAACATCAGTGATATGTCTTGATTTAATGTATAAGTATTTTGCCTCGAA